GGTGGCGAAGTCCTTGTCTTTGGGGTGAATAATCATCTCCCCCTTTAGGTTGGGCCGCACTGAGAACTTGGCCAGTGGATTTAGTTTTTCCATCTCTGTGATGGCAGCATATGTCGTTTTCGTGTCCGTTTTCGAGATCCGGCCAGCCGATCCCATATCTATATGATTCTGGAGCATAAGGAATCGAGGCACATGTAGCGCGAGAGCCAATCACGGGGGAGAACGCGTAAGGTGTGAAACTCTCTGATCTTGAGTTTGAGGTGGAAGGTCAAGACTAGGTCGGCGATTGTACCCCTACGTCGGCTCCATAGACCTAGTCTCTCGGCGTAGCTGGCTGTACGCGACACTCTCTGACCCTCTCTCACCATGAATGGTTACGAGTTTGATAACGTGGCGCGGATACGTCCAGAGACCCCCTGACGGAGACACGATGATCCTCCCCAAACTGGCCAGATATTTTGTAAATAACATTGATTATATGTTAAAAGAATATCCTTCCTTCCTTAGGCTTTAGTAAGCCCCTTTATAATATTTATACTGTATATACTTGTCACACTTGCCAGATGCTTCTGGTGTCATTGTACAGGGGTACCTAGTGACAGCACTAGGATCCCGCTTCCTCTATCAAGGAATAAACAATTGAAATTGAATTGAATTAATACGTCCGGATAAGCCGACCTGCCCCAAGAAATTAAACCTTCTAGTTCTCAAGAAGTTCTTTGAAACCAATGGGATCATGGGGGTCACCAAGGTGAAACGACTGAAGCTCCATGGTGACATCAAGATCACCTTCACCGAGAAGGATATGCCCGTACAGCTCGTGGAGATCCCAGACATCAACGGCATTCCTATAAAAATGATTGCCTTCAAGTCGGACAACCTGAAGCTGGGAGTAATCTCCCACGCCGAAATTACCCACGTGGACCAAGCAGAGCTGAGTGAGCTCCTCAAGGGACAACTCCAAGTCGTCAAGAAGCTGTCCGACACCACTGCCCTCATCGGACACCATGCAACCTTACCCAAGGAGGCTCAACTGGCGTGGGTAACTGTGCCAGTCAAGCCCTACTGCAGACCGAAACGCTGTCACAAATGCCAGCACTACGGACACACTGTCAACAAGTGTGAGGCGCAGGAGGACACCTGCTCCCTGTGCGGCAACCCCGGACACTGCTACACTGTCTGCCCTAACACAGTGAAAAAATGCGCTGCCTGTGGCGGCCCACATTCCTCTGCCGATCGGACCTGCCCCAAATGGAAGGAGGAATGCAGGATAGCCAAGGCTCGACTCGACAAGAAACTGAGCTTCAAAGAGGCCCTCCTTGCTGTACGCTCCCAAGACAAGAAAAAACCAGAAGAAAAGAAGACTCAAGAAAAGACACACTCCACAAAGAATCAAGAACACCACAAGGCCCGTGGAGCTGAAGCCCACGTGGTCAACCTCACCGTCTCCGACTTCTTCCACACCTATGAGGACATAAGACACGAGGAAGACGAACAAGACCCAAACACGAATGAATGGACACTTCAAGAGAGCAAGAAGAGGAGGAGAGTAAGAAGAAAATCAATTTCAAGCTAACAAGAATACCAAGACAGAAGACAGAAGACCAAGACATTTCCTCCAAACAAGAAAACAACACACACAATCAAGCCGACCAAGCACTGAAAAACCATGGCCCAACCCAACACGCACCTGACGCTTGACCTGACGCTCACCTGACTCTGTCCTGCCGCCTCCTCGCCGCGTCCAGGCGAGTTGCTGCTGCCTCCAACTTAAACTCCCTCACGCAAGCAGTGTTTAGCCACTGCACCTATTCTCTCCTTCTAAAATTCACTTCAATCCTCCCTTTATCCTTCCCCTGAACCTCCTTGCCCCCTGTCACTAGCATTTTATGTTATGTTATGCTGTACGCTGATTGGCTGGTAGGCGAGCGGCCTGAGCTCAGTTGGGAGTTGTAGGGGAGAGGATCCACTAGAGTAAAATATTAAAGAGCTCTTGTTAAGACTAGTTTTGGGCGGGCTAGTTAGCATGCTAACCAGCTCCTTTTGATGTATTTGTCAATAAATGTTTTGAAAATGAATTTGAATTGTGGAAGCGTTGTATCAATATAAAGTAAAGCCATCCATTTGTGATATGGCTTCCGTTGATTTTTTTTTTTTTTCACACTAAGGCTCATCTAAATTAAGGTAATACCACCAGTATTTTATTTTTCTGATTTTAGTTTTGTACGTAGGTTAAGGTGTGACCGTTGCCCTCCAAAAATAAAAAAATGGTCCTACAATGCTGTTCAAAGTTTTAGTGCTTTGTATTTATCTAGGAAACACCCCTGTAAATTTTCTTGGAGATCGGCTTTATAAAATAACAAGGAATATTATTATCTAATGAACAAATTTAGTGGAATTTCTTTTATTAGACTTATAAGATATACAAACACCAAGCAAATGATCGACCATATCAATCTTAATACCCCTAAAACAATATTATAGAATAGTACGAAATACATTAATCCCAATAATTGCATTTCTAGGTTCAAGACCCATTTCTCTCAACTGGCGTACAATGAAAAAAAGAATTACTACTACCCCGCAATGCCCGGAGTGTTTGAGGAGCGCCAGCAGGAGATGGCTGACTTCTTCCGTGAATCTCTAGCCCAACCATTTACACGTGGCGACTACAAGGAGCTGGTAGAGCTTTGTCTGCTGCTTGTAACATAAGAACATAAGAACATAAGAAAGTGGCATACTGCAAGAGGCTGACTGGCCCATACAGGACAGATCCCTTTCACACCCATCCCAGCACTTCCATGTGCCTATCCAACTTCGTCTTGAAGCTCCCTAGCGTCCCCGATCCTACTATAGCACTCGGTAGCCTATTCCACATATCCACAACTCTATTACCAAACCAGTGCTTGCCTAGAAAAGCTCCTCGCCCTACTGGGGCCACCGACATTTCCTCCTCACCTAAACATGCTTTCAACACAACAATATATATACAGAAAACGCATTGTGAGTTTCTATTCTACCTCATTCCTGAGTGTGAGATATCTACATGTACGTACGTTTGTGTGCCCATACAAAGAGAAAATAGACAACTAAAGAGAATTGACAACTGGCCACAAACAGTACGCTACAACCTCACAATTCTTCACGTTTATTCTGGGAATGTCAATGGCATTTTGCCATCTGCGACTCCTGTCAAATTCGTATCAAGTGAGTCGGAGTGACTGATGAAGCTGCTGCCTCTTATTTGAAATGTATTTCAATATATAATTGCACATTTTCACTGTAACTCACAAGAGATTAAATACTTAAATTGCCTATCTCTGTCCTTAGGAAACCGATGAAAATTAAAATGTGGATGTGCATCCTTTCTCCTCTTGCAAATAACACAGGGATGCGATCTACCCGGCATGTTGAACTACCGTGTACAGTGGCGCCAGTGTGAAAAATCAAAACGTATCCATATTCTTCTAAAAAATATAAAAAAGTATCCACTTTTTTCTTTAGTAAATTGACGAATTTCTTAGTATCTATGACAACAAAGTTAAACTGAAATATTATGGTGTCATCAATAATTTTACTGACAATGAGCTGGAGTTCTCGGGCCATTGCGAGAAGAAGGTAAATCAGGCAAATAAATTACTGTATTGGGTCTTATAAGAAGGTCGTTCAGATATCTAGACGGTCCGTCCCTCGTAACGATCTTCATGAGTGAAGTGCTTCCCCATCTGGAGTACTGTCACCCCGTCTGGTCCCCGAGATATGCTAGGGACTGTCAGTTGGTTGAAAATGTTCAAAGGAGGGCCACCAGACTGGTGCCTGCACTTCGGCACCTCAGCTACCCTGAGAGATTGGAGCGCCTGAACTTGCCTAGCTTATACTACAGACGGGCAAGGGAGGACCTAGTTGAGGTGTATAAGCATCTCGGGGGGCACTACTCAGTTGAGTGTCCTTACTTGGAGCTGGCGGACGCTCGCCCCACAAGGGGTCACAGCTCAAGATTGAAGAAGCCGCAAGTCCAGAAAATTGAGGGCAAACTTTTTTGGAGTGAGAGTTGTGAACTCTTGGAACAATCTACCAGAGAGTGTTGTGACGGCACCGAGTGTGAGCTCTTTCAAGAGAAGACTTGACCAACACTGGAGCGGGTTCAGGTACATTCAGGAGCCGGTGCATACCCAGTATTTGCTAACAGTGCGTGACAGAGGCGTGACTGATCGCCCAAGCGGCTAACGAGTCGATCATTTGGTAAAGAGGATAAAAGAAAAGGATAAGTAACAGAGACGTTGTAGTGGATTCCTTCCCTACAAACGCTGTTTGTCGCTGAGTAGTCGACCCCGCGAATTCCTCAGTGTATGCCTCGTGGTCTGGGTCAACCAGCGCCGCTATACATGACGGAGGTCAACTACTAAGCCACGCCTACCTCCGCTATATAAGACCTGACCTCGTGGTGACCTACCTCTCTCTCTTCTTCTAGCTACAGCCGCAGCAAGCTACACCACCTCCTCCTACTCCTGCCTGGCGGTCCTCGCTCCCGCCGGCGAGCATGGCGACCCACAAGCTCGTCCTCCTCTGAGCACCCTCACCAACCAGCTCTCTCTACATCACGCTTGTAACCACGTTGCCTTCCCAGCAACAAGCTGCATTGTACATCCAATACAACATGTATACAGAGAACACATTGTGAGTTTCCTTCCTCCATCCCTCCTGAGTGTGAACCAAACATCTCGTACCCCACAACGTGACCGATCGCCCAAGAGGATAACGAGTCGATCAGTGGTGTAGAGGATAAGAGTAAAAGTAAATAAAATGGCTATTCTTGGCTGTAGTCCAAGATTTTTAAAACACACAGACGACAACGTGACGTTACATAAGGACGACTGTAGCGTCATCCTAATTCTGGACTACATAAAATGACGTCACTGTGCTCTGAGGTTGCAGCTAGTATTATTACCGACTCATTCCTGTCTTGGGTATATAATTCTTTGGTTCATATGTGATAAACAGTTGAGGTCGTGATGATTACTATTCATCAAATTGAGCTAATTTCAAGATCTCTTTAGCAACCTTTTCTACTGTGTTTGATAAACTGTATGGGATTATCAGGGTTATTTTACTGAATTCACACGATATTTGTATTCATTTATTGAATTATACCGAGTTTGTATTGATCTGGGTGAAGTTTAGCAAGTTTTTAGCCTTTTACCTGAGTGACTTTTGGGACTGAGAGTTGGTGACATTGAAGAGGGAAGGTGCTGTGTTTCTGCTGTTGCTAATATAACATCACTTGCATTCAACAGGAGTGGCAATGTCAACATAGATGAATTGATTTGTATTTCACTAGTGTGTAATAGGAAGATAACGTGAGTTGTAGGATAGGTGTACTATGTTGAAGTGAATAGAGTGAAGGATAATGTTTTTTAATCCTGTATGAAGTCTACAGCGGCTGACAAAGTTCATGTGACTTGGCAATGTAGAATTTATTTATCAACATTATTCTCGCAGTAAATTTATCCTTTTTTATTTGGTAAATTTTTCTTGTAGTTCCGTTCACTTGTAGTAAGTTAAAAATATATTTTTCTTGTGTATTTGTGTGTGCTGAGACCGAATATGACCTTCCTTTTGGGCGGAAATTAGCCCTTGTTTTTTAGCGATTTTTTTTCGTTTGACGTTTTCCGAGAAAAAAAAAAGTGCATAAGCGACTAACAAATACACAATAAAACACTAGAAAAACAATAACCAAACCTAACCTGACCTGACCTAACCTAACCTAACTGACTCTCACCATATGATGGAATCACCTATTTCTTACCTTATTGGCCTGGTTCTTGTTCGTCGTTGCATTCTGGGATTCTTACCCAACGCCACATATGTTGGTCTTTGCTATATTTACATTCAGTCTTGCTCTTAGTACACTTTACTGAGGTTGGAAGAACACCATGCGATCGAAAAAATGCTATAGTTTCTTCTTTTTTTTTCCCAAAAACTCGCAATCAGCTCCATATACTTTAAGTGACACCCATCGCAGACTTCCATGGTTGGAATTGAACTTGAATTTCAAAATATGAGAGACCAAAAACAATAATCGAATTTGATTGGGACAAAAATACCGCGAATTAAACCCAAAAAAATTTTATTTGGTTTCAAAATAATAAAGGCTTTTGATTGGCTGTGTGACGTGTACAGCAACGCATGCGCAGGATGATTTATGAAGGGGACGCAGGAGACACGCAGTGTTGGAGGAGAGGCAGACGATAATGGCGGGATGTTAATGGAAGAAAATAGAAAATATTTTAGAAGAGCTATCTCCGTTATTATACATTTCCTCCGGTAACGTAATAGATTAAAATTATCTTATACTGTACTATGACGAACGAAACTCCTACAACGAACATTATTTAATTTTTTGTTTTTTTTGTTTTTTAATAATTTATTGTTTTTTATTACAAGTATTAATGATATTCTTTATTTCAGGGGTTTAGATGCATATTTATGCACTTTTTTACAATTTTATATTATATTTTTCAGTGTTAAGTGGTTGTATTTGGGGGCCTGGAACGGATTAATCCTATAACGAACGAATGCTATAACGAACAAGGTTCTAGAACCAATTAGATTCGTTATAGCATACCCCACTGTAATTAGACGTCTTATCCGAATATGATAATAGATTAGTGGTAGGAATGAACGGCACTACAAGAAAATAATACCTTTTTTATTTTACCACTTTAGCTCACGAGGTGAACTATGGGTTTTAATCGATGTTTATATTGATTTTTGTCGGAAATCACTCGTTTTTACACACCTCCCCACACTACCAAAAAAGTGATTTCCAACAAAAATCGGTAAAATTGCAGATTACAGCAACCAAAGAATCTGATAAAAAAAAATTCTGGTGGTTTTGATGCGATCAGTTCAAATCCGGGTAAATTTTTTACTTTACAACAGGAGTCCCTATGGGTTGACCAATATGTTTTTCATATGTATTTTGGTGTGTTATAAACGAATCTGACCTTTATTTTGTGCGGAAATTGCTTGTTTTTGCTCCCCCCAACAATAATGGGGGAGAGCCTGAGAAATCAGGGTGTTTGGGTGGGGGAGAACACGAGTCATCTAACCTAACCTGACCTCTAGTCGGGGCCTCCTCCTCCTGGACCCCCGGTAGGCCTAACCTGACCTTTAACTGGGGGCGATAGGCCTAGCTTAAACTAACCTAAATGTATCAGTAGTTCAAAACTTTGGGGCACACCATGTCCGAAAGTACAATACCTTAGTTAGAAGTGGAAGGACCAGGTAAGAATTGGATAGAATAATCGTCTTTCTCGTAAAACTCTGTAATAAACTTAAAATAATCGTAGGAGCACAATGACAACCAACCAACACCATGGCTGGCTATTGCTAGACTGGTCAATGAAATTATCAGGGCTGCTTCCTTTGAAAAAAATCAAATGTTATTGGTCGAAAAAAATTCTCGTGAAGGTATCAATACATAAATGGTCACGACTGGATGACGTCAGTCAATATTGTGCATGCGTGATGCGCCATTAACATCTCCTCACAGAAACGAAGACTGAAAAGTATGTAAAATCAATTAGATTCAATTGTGTCGCTATTTTCCTTGTGGAATGGCACAAAAATCGTGCGCCCCCCGACCTGGCCGTGAAAATGCTGCCAACTTTAAAACTACACGCAAATATTCTTGGGTACATCCAGGGTGTCATCCGTGAATAATAGAAGACCGTAAAATAAAAATTAGCGAATTGCCCGGGCTTCAAATTGGCCTGAAAATGCCCATGATATTGGTCAGATTTAAAATAAAATTCTGAGGGTCTTACAGTGCCCCCACCCCCCCAAAAAAGAAACAGCTGGGTGGACGCGCTGTGCTCACCATATTCCCCCACCCACATCTTTTTGGACCCCCTCCCCCTTTTAATATTCCTAGACCCCCTCTGGTCGTGTGTAACTGTGGTCTAATGTTACCGGGAGATGTAGTAGTTTCTACTGAACGTTGCTTCTGTTAAATTGAAATACATATTTTTGCTGTGAAGTACGGGTAATGCCCAGTGGTATTCTGATATTTTATACCAGTGTTAACGTAATTGTACCCACTTTTAAGCTAACCTCCGGGAGTGGTTCCTGTGTTTTGTGCTCTGGAAAAGTGTTCATATCCTCTACTTCATGCGTAATAAATTACCTTAATGTTTTTTGTGCTGTCATTACTACTGCAGCATTTACTTTTTATTCTCCCTAATAATTTGTGCTATTGAATAAACTCTAGAACCCAGGAGCCTAGCCCTGGCCACGTTGCTACCTAATGTTTAAAAGGTTCATGTTATGTTTTACATTTTGAGAGAAAATCTGGTGATGGCAGCCAATGATGAGTATTGAAGATACAGTAGAAACATATAAAAGATTTATAAGAAACAAAGAAGAAAGAAATATAGAGAACTAAGAAAGAATTAAGGAGAAAAATAAAATAAAACAGTACAGCTCCTCCCCGACTTACGACCTACTCGACTTACGTCCACCCGCACTTATGACCTGCCTCAGTCGTACCAAAATTTGATCAAATTATGTATTTTCGAGTCCCAAAGTCAGTACACAGACAAAATTTTCATCTGTAATTCACTTTAAAATGGCTGGCAAGCTTAAAAGTGAGTGTTTTGTGGTGCTGAGAAGAAAAAGAGACACCCATTTTAGATTTTCTATATGTTATTTAAGTATTTCCGACTTACGACCATTTCGACTTGCGACCTGGATGTCGGTCTCTAATCCCGTCATAAGTCGGGGAGTAGCTGTACCTAGAAATTTTAAGAGAAGCGTAACAGAAAACTTAATACACCTAGAAATTGAAAAGAAACTGTACTTAGAGAATTAGTAAATAAAACACAAAAACAATGAGAAATTATAAATTAAAGAATAATTAGAAAAAATCATAGCAAAAATTTAAACCCCCCGTACAACAGAACATGCCATGACATAGGAATGTGGCTAAAAAAAAGGATTACACCTGTAGTTCCAAAATTACTGGAAATTTGATGAGATGGACTGAAATAAAAAGGTCGTGTATAAAGCTTGAATGTCAGTGTGATGCAGTAAATGATTCTGCTACAATTACTATGCACAGCTCTTGAGACAAATGAGTGTTCTGTGAAGCTTCTTTAATGATCTTAATCACTCTCACTACTTTATTTTTTTTCAGTACTCCATTGAAACTATCAGGAATACCCTGTACCTGTTATTTTGTTTGAGATCCCATGTAAAACATTTTTATTAGACTTGACACAGCGATAGGGTCGTGAGGGTATCAGATATTGTTGCACTGGGTCGTGGGAAAATTAGTTTGAAGAAGACTGGGCCATGGTGTCATTTTATATAACAGTTCAAATGGAAAGATTACTATACTGGGTAATGGTTTAGACATGAAACTTCCCAGTTTGGATACAATATACTGCATGGTCTCTTAGTCCTTCCCACAACCTCTCTGTTGCTTGATGATTTTCAAAGATCACAAGTCTTTCATCACAACCCTTTGATCATAAATGGTCAAGGGCTGAGATGGTTGACTTGAATACTGTACCTACCCTGGATTTTTGGAGCTCTCTTTTCTATAGTTGGGGACTCAAATTGCAGCGATCTTACATGAATGAATACCTTTGCTGGCCATTTAGGCAATGAGCGTGTCACTGTACATCTTCAAGGCCTCTAGACGTAGACATCGTTCACTCAAGTAATGCGTTCCTGTTGGGTCTGCTGGTAGATGCACTGAGGGTGTCTGTGGTCACTTACTCAGAGGCTATATCCTGCTTTAGTTCCTAATTTTCAGTTCATTTTACCATAAAAGTGAAGTCATGCAAAATAATCAAACTGTAATTGATGTATTTTTCTTTCAGGTTTTGACCTTGATATCATCAGATGCTGAAGTTGTTAACCTTAGGCTCTCTGTCTTCAAAGGCATATTCATCTGTCGTCTCTCCTTCCAAGCACTTGACTATCAGAACTCAGATTAAAACAATGTTAGGTAATTCTGGGTAAGTTTGTCTCTGTTATACCTACACTGAACATTTTTTTTTAATTGGTATCTTGACAGAGCTTAAGAAGTGATTTATTTTTAATTTTCATTGGTTTACAGACCTTAAGAAAGTCTCATTGATGTTATTCTTGGTTTTATGAGCAGTTGTAGGCCACGAGTTTTGGCCAGGTTGGTACATTCAACCACAGGTGCAGGGTATTGGTATACACCATTTTATACCATGTGGATTAAATTATCTGGTAACACTTGTGTAGAGAACTGACAGAATTTCAAAGTGACCTGTACAGTAATTTAAGTTTAATTCCTGCAGATGTTTTATGATTACTGTACTGTACATATGAATACTGTACTGTGCTGTCAAATGTTGAAAACATTCCTAAAATATGATGTGAATAGAACTGGGTATTGTTGCTGCCAGAGCTAGACCAGAGAATTTTCTAAACAACGAGCGGTCAATACAGCATTATCTCGATTTAACCAACTAATACGACCCACCCCTTTCCATTGAATCAAAATTTTCCCTAAATTGAATTTTCGTTATTTTCGCTCGATTTAGCGAACTAGTTCACTAAATCTAGCGTGATTCCGTTAAATTCCGCACTAAATGTGTCACTTGGCGCATGGGGTTTGTTTACATCTGCTCGATCTGTGTCTTGCCGCCACCGCATGTGTTGTTCACTGTTACCTCTTGGTCAACTAACTACTGTGCTTAGACATCATGCCAAAAGTCTCTCAGAAAGGAAGTGGTGTGGGGGAGAAAGTCAAAAGAGTACAGCTATCAATTGGGAAAAGGTTTGGAAAGTATAGAAAAAATGAAAATAAACACCGAACACCCATAGTTTAAGGTAGACCATGAATTATGTTTTGAATGGGTCTATGTACACATCATGTGTCTGATGTGTCTCCGTAGGTGTGAGGATATTACAGTAGAACGTCGATTTAAAGCGATGCAATTTAAGATTATTGATTTAAAGCAACACCCACAATTAAGGACAATGTTTTAATTTAAGGCGAATCTTTCCTATTTTGTGCGAGTCAATCTGGTGCATCATACTTTAAAATTTGCGCCTAATGTTTCTCTGGGCACGCTACACTGTCCTTAAGGCAAAGCTGTACTGTACATGTACTCAAAGTAATGTACTAAATGATTACTAAAATTTTTGTCTCGTGCAAACTATAGCATGATTATATTCAAATTAATCACTATCTTTTAAGAATTTCAGCAATGTAAATTATATTCTCCCCGGTCACTTTTGTGACAATTTATAAAAAAAAAATTAAAACTCAAGCTAAAGGACATAAAGAAACATATAAATACTTCACTAGACCTCGGTGCCAACTGTCACTGTCACCTCCCCCATCCTCCCAGCCAGGGTTGGGTAGTTATTGGCTTACAATTTTTATCTTATATAATATATATTATCACAGACTAAAGTTAGGAGAATATAATTTGCATTGCTAGAATCCTTGCAAGACAGAGAATAATTTGAATATAAACATCATATATTTTGCACAAAAGATAAAAATTTTAGCCCTTTGTAATAAAAGTACTGTAATTGGAACATGTCAGTTCAGTGACATTTTATAAGAGAAAAACTTAGTCACCTCTCTTCCCATCAGCTGATCACTAGTAAACAGACCATTTCACATCCCATAATTTTAGCTGTGTTGATTTATGAGTGTTTGTTTTAACATAATACTCCAAAAAACAATGTTTTGTTTATTCTAGGAGATGGGCTGAGGTGCATTTGGGTAGGCTCAGTCTTTTTAGTATTTTGAGTTTCTCTCAAGTACCAAACTAAATTATTCCATTGAAACAACACTTTGATTTAGTGCGAATTCTGTTCAAAGCGACCTCTCTTGGGACCTACCTCGCGTTATATCGACGTTCTACGGTAACGGAATTAATCTTGATCTAGTGAACTAGTTCACTGAATCGAGTGAAAAATAATGGAAAAAATTCCTCCCTCTAAATCAAGAGTATAGTATACTGTACATTACCATACTATAAATGATACAAGTTCAGGTGCACACAACCTCAGGAAACCTGGCCGATGCTCACCATAGCAAAGAATGTCAATGTCATTAGAGACTAAAATACATGAAGAAATGTTGAAACCCTCACCCCATTCATGGTCCCAGTATGTAGCGACAAATTTCTGAGGGGTAGAGTCCTCAAAACAAAATCCCAATTTATATCTAGGAGGACTATTGCTTCTCTTGAATGCTTAAGGGATTCTAAGGGCACTGACTTTTGTAATGGCCAACTTCTCCACACCCGTGACATTTTATTTTCAAGAACTTCTCACTCCGGGACGAAGGTACAGGAACAATGGGGTTAGGTTCAGTACTTCTCTTACCTATGTTACATGTAGAGTTAGACTGGGGTAGAAGCTATGAGCGGCAGCCAACTGCACAGCATTGTCTAGACTTCGCACGTTATGCTCTGGTAACAGGGAAGACATAAACTGATCAAGAATCAATGAATGGCCTGACAGAGGCATATAATTGTTCAATACCCCAACTATCAGTCCACTGATCAAACAACCTTTCTAGATAAATAAAAAAACTGTTTGTAAGTTTCACCAACTCTTATTTAGCAGCCTGGAAATGCTGCCTATGCCCACAGGGGATCTTGTTGGGGGCTTGTTTTACTTGTTTATAATCTGAGGACAATGATGTGGAAATGTCTACTGCCATTTTTATATTCAAAAGACTGGCAACACTCAGAACTAACCAGATATAAAGCCTTGTCCTCGCCATCTTTGAAAGCAGGCAAGCTAAGCCGGACCACCCCATCATTATAGACTGGACTGACTGAACTCTCAACTTGACTAATTCTAATTCATGGAAGAAAGTTTGTTATCCTAGGACCCAGGAAACTGGAAAATTACCACAGCAAGTTTGGTGTTGGTCCCAAGGGTCCCAGAACTAAAGGTCTGTATCTGTACAGGGTAATTGTACATATGCTGTGATAATCACAAGGAGCTAAAGGATGTGGATTCACACACTTGAATTTCATCATGTTTTTATTTTTAGGATCACCTTAAAATTAATTTCCACCAAATTAATAGCAAAAGCAGATTATTATTAATTACAGGTACTGTACTGTACATGGTTTACAGCAGGTGTCATCTGTTTATGAAGTAATGAATGTGACTGACTCGTAATGTACATAATCTTGTTTACACATGTCCAACATACGGTACTGTACAGTATATTACATATGTAAAAGAAAATAATATTGCAAGATTTAAGTTATTTTGTCACAAATATCAGGATTCATTTCAGCAGCACACCTCAATGGACGCTCCTACAGTCTCTTAAAATTCACACTGTAGAGCTTCCTGAATGTTAAGCTGAAGTTTTAACCATCATGATACTGTACTTATATTTATGAAAACTTTCAGAACAAACATTTCTCAAGTACATCAAGAAGAGGAGCTGGCCCGAGGAAAGTGGTTGGCACTCAACAATTTTCACTGGACAGACCACACGGGTAGGAAAAGGTACGGTACTGTATTGTTTATCATATTTGGACAATGTTCACCCCCCCCCCCTTTTTTTTCACCATTGGGTTCATCCCTAAAGGGGCCAATATATCATAAATGCTAAAATCGTGAGTCTGTTAAACATTGGAAAATTAAGAGTGTAGTTGAACACTGCCTGCTTATTATCTGACCACACTCCCTGTCCACCAATGCTTTACAGTAGACTCGCAACTTACGCAGATTTTCTTGCGCGGTTTCAACTACAGTATACGCCGGGGGTTAGATTACAATTTCCAACTCAAAATTTTCAAAATGTTTGTCTAATACAAACTATAGTATGTTTATATTCAAACTAATCACTATCTTATAAGAATTCCAGCAATGTAAATTAAATTCTCCCAGATCAGTTCAGTGATATTTTATAAGCAAAAAACAAAAACTCACTCTGAAGGACATAAATAAATAAATAAATAAATAAATAAATAAATAAATAAATGCTTCACTAGACCTTCCGGTGCCAGCTGTCAAACACATCACATCACATCACCTTCCCTCCCCCTCAACCCCATCTTCCCAGCCAGGCTTTGGTGTTTTAGGCTTAAAGTTTTTATCTTATGTAATATCACAGACTAAAGTTAGGAGAATATAATTTGCATTGCTAGAACCTTTGCAAGACAGCGAATAATTTGAATATAAACATCATATATTTTGCACAAGAAATAAAAATGAATCGCCTGTATCACATTACAGTAGTGATTTATGAGTTCTAGTGTATATGTACGTCTATACAGGGTATATACTGTAGTGATTTAATGCCGATTTAGGAGACTTTTAGGAGTGTTTCTGACTTTACGCATTTTTGGGCTTCACACGAGGTCCCAGGAGCGTAACCCTCGTGTGAGTCTAATGTATTTGTAAATTAAGAAGTGGTGGAACTGTATTAAGCCAGACAGATGGTGACCAAGAAAGGCAGTTAATCTGTAGGGGGACATTGTGAAGAAACTAGATACAAAGTATTGATGTCAGTATTTATTGATACTCTATGTGATTACATTTACAATAAACAGAAATATCTCCATTAGCCGGAATCCCTCAAACCCAGAACTCTCCGATAGCCGGAATTGAAATTTTCCGAGGGGCACATTTTCTGGAAAATTCCAAGAAAATTTTCCAAGTACCCGGAAAATTCCTGGAATGGGGGATTTTTTTCCGAAAATCTCTCATTCCTTGAAGTGCTCTGCATCAATTGTTCCGGCTAATGGAGATATCACTTACTGTACTTGTGCAAGTTAAAAGTGCTGGAAAGGCGTTCTAGCATAAATTAATCACTGCTGTGTACATAACAACTCCAAGCATGTCTCCTGCTCACCTACAGGTCCTTCAAGTAGGGGACTGGATGTATTAGGTGACTCCTGTCTTTACATTGTAATGGGGAGATAATATTAATTTTTTGTTATTTATCTTTCTTATTATTTCTTTAATAAAGTGTCTGTGTAATCGGAGATATCTTCTTTTTTATCATTTCCGATAGCCGGAATTTAAATTTGCTCGGAAAATCATTTCCAAAGCCAGAATTTTAAAAAAATTTCCGGCTTTAGGAACAAATTTTCCCAGGTTGAAAATTAAGAGAATTTTCTGAAAATGTCTTGAATAAAGATGAAAGTTAAAGTTTTTTTTTTTCTTTGGGGGGTGGGGGACCTGATTCTATGTCAGGGGGATTAGTGGTCTCATATTACTGACCTTCTGATGGAATGTCAGGTCACCCTTTCTTGGGTGGGGGATTAGTGGGTCTCATGACCTGAAGATGTCTTGAATATACACAAAACCTAAAGTATTTTTAGGGAGATTGTGATAAGTATAAGTATAAATGAGCAAAGTTGTATCCCTTCAACATTACATTACATAACATTTTAAAATATGGAGTGAGAATGATGTGAGTGATTAGAGATGTGGAGTGGAGAGGAGTGGTAACATGCACCAGTGTTGCCAAGTGATAAGCTCCTCAACAGCTGATGTGAGGGGACGGGGTCTTAGGCCTGCCACCAATGTGAGGGGGCGGATTTTTTAGCCTGCCACCAATGTGAGGGGGCGGGTTTCCTCTCCGTTTCTACACCTCCCTCATCTTACTTACTTCTCTTAGTTCTTACTCTTACTCAGTTCCGTCACCTATTCTTTGGTAGCATGGACATTCTTTTGGTAGCATGGTTGAGGGTCTAGGCACATGAGTATGGTAATTTTGGTATCAAGTCACTTGGATGGAAATAAAGGTAAAATACTGTGGGAGAAATGAATACACCTAAAGTACTCTAAAAACAAGTTTATTAATATGCAATCAGTGGGGAAAGATATTGTATTAATCATATAACTACCAGGCTCACCTCCTGGGCTTAGTGCAAACTCAGTACCTTCTTCTTTACTCTTACTCACAACATTACTGGTGTTACATTACATGGCACTCATTGTAGATTATTCAACATACAGTATACATAAACAATGACACTAGTATATGCAGGGGTCCACTACCCAACATGGGATAATTATTTCCAACTAATTATCCCTAATATACATGTTACAACACTCTCAGGACATTCACTTCCAAGGAGTAACCCAGGGCAGAACACTAGGGCTCGCGGCCTTTGTTATTGTGGGGTAGCCAGACACATGTCGGGTCTGGGGTCGGCCCAACGAAGTCGTCGGGCACATTAATCAGGCCGCATCGGTGCCATCTTTTCATATGTGATCCTGGCTGGCCATCTACTACATCCGAGGCCGTTGTTGGATGGTAGAGCGATTCAAGAATCCCAAGGATCTGGAGACAAACGGGGCAGCGTCAGGGGACTGAGAAACATGACAACACCAACAAACTCTCTTGTCTAGACGACAGACGTATTTACGTTATATTACTTCTACACTGGGTGAATGACAATTCAACTATTAAGTCATCAACACTGGTGAACACTGATATTCACTACAATTGACAGAATTAACTGAATGGCTAGGGAACCCAGAACATACCTGGAGACAAAAGGGACAGCGTCAGGGGACGCTCTCCCTGGCCATCTTGAGTTTATATACCCCTGAGTTGCCAGTGATCGCTACTCACGCAATGACAATAATTACAAACAAACTAACTGTTACTCATTCAAAGATGACCCTCAGTTGACAAAAGTCTGGCGAATTACTTGGGTTGATTTACACAGACTAATTCAAGATTGAGCTTCCCAGAAGAAAGTGAAATAACAACGCATTGATAACTGTCTTCACAAAGGCGGGACTTACTGGGAGGGATCGCGAGGGTAAACACGCTCCTTCTAGGGGTCGCGAACTCACTCATGTTTTGCGGGCGTGGAGTTTAATAAGAATCATTAGTTAAATAGATCAGCAGTCAACGTGACCATGACACTGATCTTTTAATTTGCCTCCATGCAGTCACACAACAAGACCCTCACTGGATGCTTGTTGTTTTAATTCGTGTGTGTGTGTGTGTGTTTTGAGCTTGCCAAGCACATTGTATAGATGAAGAGTTTGTTCAGGAGTCAGGTGGTGAGGTGACATGCCAAGACACTTGCACAACACACACATCAACAGCACTACTAAACCATTGTCTTATAACATTTAACTTTATAATTTATATTTTAAAATTAATTGATACATGATAGCTCGACAGGACTACTTTTGTACTTAGACAACTGATCAATGAATAAACCAGGGCATATGGAGACTCATTATACACTAGTGATGTAACAAAACTTTGAAACTGCAACCACATAAATTATCACAACCTGTACTCAAATGTACTGAGTTAATTACTAATATTATTATGTATGGTGCAAAATAAGGGATGTTTATACTCAAATTAATCGCCTATCTTACAAGAATTTTTGCCATGTAGATTATGTTCTCCTAAGTCAAGTCAGTGATATATTATAAGCGAAAAAAGTAAAAAAACCTGCCTTTCATAATCTCCCCCCCCCCCTCCCAGTCAGAGGGAAAAGGGTCTGTTGGGGGTAAAAGTGACCGGACACCGCCCCCCCCCCCTAAACGGCTAATTCCAGACACATCTGCGTGTGTGTGACTGACTGGTTGCGAGTTAAATGTCAGTTCTCAAGCAGCACTTGGTAACACTCATTTTCACTCCATCTCTCTCATCACCCACACCTTTCTTACTCCATGTTTTAAAACATAATGTTGAAGGGATACAACTTTGCTTAGTTCTACTTATATCTGTACTTATCACAATCTTTCTAAAAATACTTTAGGTTTTGTGTTTATTCAAGACATCTTCAGGCCATGAGACCCACTAAACCCCGGCCAAGAAAGGCTGACCTGACATTCCATCAGATCAGTTACACAAGACCCACTAATCCCTCACAGCTCCATGGGAGTGGAAAATAACAATCTTTGTTGTAACACACTGCTTCAGTCATGCCCATATCCTTTAAATCTTTAATTTTCAAATATATTTATTTAACCAAACTTTTAGGTAAACTATTCTTTATTATTATAGTACGGAAATGGAGTTTCTAACTTAATTAGAACTGTATTTATGGATTCCAGTAGTTTAAACTTAAGGAAAACATCTCTAGCACCCAGAAACATTCTGAGGAAGTGTGCATCTGTGTAAGAGGTCTAGTTTAGACACTTGGAAACTTTTACCAGTAACTGGAAAAGGTTCCGGGAATAAGGAATTTTTCCAGGTGTGAGAAAGTCGTCCGGGTAGCCGTAAATCTCTCACCCCCTGAAGTGCTCTGTACCATTGTTCCGGCTAACAGGGATATCACTGTAGTATTGCATTATAACTTCTATATCATTTTCTCTGTTTATGTTTTCTAAGTTAATATATTTTTCTGTCTTTATTTCTACTTTACTCTTGTGACTATTTCTATATTTTGCTTTTTTTACTAAGTGTTATTTTTTTCAATGTTTTTATTTATTTATTTATTTCAATATTCTTTATCCTTCTTTTCTATATCTTAAATAGTTGTTTCAATGTCATTACTGTTTCTTATCTTTCCTCTGACTTCTTTCAATATTTATCTGTGCTTAGCTACATTCTATACAATTGATTAACCTGGGAAAACCATATCATTCTTTAACAAAACCTATTGGTATAATGATGTTACTCACAAGGGCCCACCACCCTGGCTTTTATTAGAATATAACTGATATCCTTAAAAATGTTAGGTAGCGTGGTAGCGAGCTTAGGCACGTGAGTTACAGTATTTATTTTCTGAGAAGCAGTTGTTAGAAGGGAAAAAGTGTTGATACTAACACTTTACTAAATCAATATTTATTACAATCAAAAGTGAATAAGATGACAATTTAAACACACTCAGACAGGAATGGACCATTAGGTCTTACTTTATAAGTAACAAAATAGATCTTTATTATTTGTTACAACATTAAACAACTGTTATATTATTTCTTTGACAATAAAGATGGTCATTTTACACACTTGGTAATAGCACAGATATTAATACTTTCTTTATAACCTCATGAGTGAACAACATGGAACAGGTACCAGCTCTCAGTGGGAGCACACATTGATGGTTTACTCACAACACATATAACAAACCTAACATGGCAATAGCAATATTCATGGTTTCATACTCAACTGGGACAATTATATTTCTGCTAATTATTCCCATTCATATACAAGAACCCTACTTTGCACATGTAACTGAGATTAGTACACCAGTATCATTCACTGGTGTTTACTACAACAAATGAAGCGCACTATTAGCATCGGTTGGACTCCGATGCACGGCTAGAGAGCTCATCTCATGGGTGTATAGCTCCCAGAGTGTGTTACTCCTTGGTTTTAATCTCGCTGAATTAAAGGCATCTGGCTGGTAGGCAGCTTCCGATCCACGGCAGCTGCGGGTATTCAGCTACAACACACTGTGCCTGAGATACGGTGGGGGAAACGTCACAAAAGTGTCACCCTCCCTGGCGCAGACGTTTATATACGAGGCTAACTGGCAACTCGGGCATGCCAAACGGGCAATTCACGCCTTACATTTCATTTAGATCAGTTGCTGTACATTTGGCTATGAAAATCAGTGTCATGAGTCACATTAATTTCTTACATCTATTGTTACAATCTAATCAGAGTTCGAGCTTGCCAGGCAATATTGAAATGGACGTCAAATGCACAAGCTGACAACATCTTTCTTACGACTTTATAAAAAATACAGGCAAGGGCCTACTGAGAGTTTGCTGTTAGATCTTGGAGATAAGAAGACTGACATATTCTTGTCAGGATATTAATTACTTTATAAAATATAAAACTGACAATAATTTCAATACAAACATCAGATTCTCTGATGATTGAGAATCAAAACGCTCTAACTTCAGTATCAGTTTGGCACTCATGGTATCCCCCAAGGACGATGTTAGGGCTTCATCACTTCTACTGGCAGACTCTTTTCAAGCTTATTTGACAATTTAAGAACAGTAAATACAGTTAAAGCTTTCAACATTACTCACAAGGTATCTTGAATGTTTCATCTGTATTCAGACATATCTTACTTATCTAACATGTACGACTTCAGTTGCAATTTAAAACTTCATAACACTAAGGAATATCAGAGTCTCTGAGGTACATGAGAGAAAACGGAGGATTCGGGCATACTGAAGTGGTGAGAAAATGGATGTGTCAACTGGGGGACTCAATAAAGAAGTTAAAGCTACATGTTTTATGGGCAATCGAGTGTAATATGAATCGTCTGATTTTACGTTAACTAACATGTATGACCGTGGTCAGTGCAATATGACACTCTTGGCTTGATCAGCAACAATACATTGTACCATTTATCAAGTCCACTGTGACTATGTGTTGTAGCAGCACTGTGAGAGCCAACTATATCTTAGAGAGCAACAGTCATATTATGGTTTTCCTTTTCCATAATACACTCCCTTCCCCTCAAGATGAAGCAGTAAGTGTAACCTCTGATGTGACCTATACTGTGTTCTGTAACTGTCCTGTGATTGGCTGGATATGTCAGGCTATAACAAAGTTTTTTGCTGTTTGAAAGACAATTTTAGAGTGGAAAGTGAGTGTTGATGATGGCGACTCATGAAGCAGATGTAAGAAAAATCTCTTGTCCTTGTGGAACTATGAAGATGTGTCCTGCATCGGCAAGTTCGTAAGATAACCTTATTGTTCCCTTCTTGTCATCCTCTTTACGAAGATTTGTGTTATAAATAAGGTTAACTCATGCTAACATGCCATGCTTAAAAAATAAGGTCTGAGATATTAATAAATCACCTTGAAACAATAGCTAAACTGGCAAAACTACAAAGAAAAATATATACTGTACTAGACTACCATACTACTACTTAGCAGCAGCGGGAAATGAGTAAATGGTCCTTAAGTGAGTTTTTTGGTCTTCACGAAGTAGTAAACCATATCTTGTCTGGTCTTTCTTGTTGATGGTTCTAAGTGTTGATGTAGCCAAGCCCCGGCTACAACCAATACTCACCCTCCTCCAGACGTCTTATCAACTGCATTTTTACATATATCCTGATGCTTCCTAGACTATTTTGGAACATTGACAACGGTATCACTTCCAGGTGTTTTTTCAGACTTTGTGTCAAATTTTTTTTTAAATGAGTTAGTACAGTAGAGCCTCAATATCCTGTACAGTACAGTATTGTGATTTGATATTTCACTTTCATTATTTTGCAGTTGGCAGACAAAAACTTTTGTGCCTAATTTTATATGGCAGGCAGTAACTAGGCTCTAATTTCACCATAAAAAGCCTCTAATTATGTAACAGGGATCATTATTTTTTGCAGACACTTGTTTTCCTCTTCTAGACCATCACAGTGTAACATAAGAATAGAGAGTTAGCATCTAGGACAAAGAAGGCTCTTCCAGAGATTGTCTTACTAAAACAACTCTCAAAGGTCACTTCTTTCTTCCCCTCAACCATAACATGAGATTTTCTAGTTCAGTCTTCAGCTTTTTGGCCGAGAAATTGAACCAAGTAACCTACACTCACTCTTCCTCACCCCTTGAGAATGACTTTAAATTTGGTAGGATATTGAGAGAGATTGAGCCACATACGTGAAACATAGTTGAGGAGCCTCAAATCATATTGAACTCCAAAAGTTGGACTCTTTACATAAAACTTCAATGGTGTACATACAGTATTAAGAAAATCACAGACTCTGAGTTCTGAAAAACACATTCAACTAGTTGAGAAAAGTGTTTGTATATAATTTGCAATGTAAACATAGTCTGCATGGATAGTATATCCTGTTGCCAGTATATCATGCTCCTTGGGCACTGACAGGCTCCACCCGAGGGCACATAAACTGTACGTACTTTAATCTTGAGAGCAATTTGCATTGTTCTCTTGATCATGAAATGGGATTTTGTACCACAGTTCTTCATTTCTTAACTTCTGTGATATATGGAATTTACGACATTCAGGCAAGTGGAAAATTATCTTGGAAGTGAGAAAAACTAGAAAATAATTCACTACTGAGTTTCAGGCACAATACTGTAATCCTTTGTTTACCTACAGAGTATGGGAAGTGGCAAGTCGCACAACTCGAGGACTATCGGAGCAGGACAGTGTAGCCGTAACTGCTGTTATTAACAGGGCCGGACACCCCAGTGCTCTAGTCCTTATCAAGCAATTTAGGCCTCCACTTAAAGCCTATACAATTGAAATGCCTGCAGGTAATATATTTTGTTTATTTACAGTACAGTATATTGTACAGTAGTGTTTACATAAATGAATACAACTCTTTGGCTTTTCACCTGCAGTAAAACCTCACAGCTAGTATTCAAGCTAGTAGAAGCTGCCTAGCTACTTATCCATAGCAATGGTGCTCCATGTCAGATGCAGACTTGGAAACATTCACTAATGCTAGTAAAAATCCTGTAAATGTGTGATATTTTCTGAGGATAAGGATTCATCTCACCACCCGGAAATCTCTCAAACACAGAAACATTCTGCACCAATTGTTCCGGCTCTCGGGGATATCACTGAATCTTGCTCGTGATTATTGTAATTGTATCAAAACTCTCATAATTGTACAGTATATCTTTCTGAGTTGATCCATTGTACAGAACTTGGACCACTGGACACTTAGAAATACTGTACTGTATCAATATTTTAACCCTCTTTGTAGGACTAGTGGATACTGGGGAGACAGCAGAAGCTGCAGCTTTGAGGGAGCTCAAGGAGGAAACAGGGTTCTCAGGGGTTATAACTGGAATAGGCAGATGTGTTGCCCTTGATCCTGGTATTTCCAATAGTACCATGAGGATTGTTAATGTTCAGGTAAGTTAATCATTTTGATATTAAGTGCCTTATATTACCAGTAGGAGAGTGGCGGTCAAATGGATACAGCACTTGCCTCCCGTTCCAGGGGTCGGTGGTTCGATCTCCGGGCACTCCCGGTTCACCCAGCTGTAAATGGTTACCTAAGTTTACAACTTGGGGAAGTGAAGGCAATCAAGCACAGTACCGGACATGCTGCCTCCTTGTGTACAGTGTGCTGTATTCACACTGTCCCAATTGGCAGGCATGCTTATGGGACCGACTTTCAATGGTTGATAAGAGAATAAAGCCCCATTTAGTAACTCACACTTTAAAAAAATGCATTCCTGTAATAGAGCATATGAATAAATAACACAATTGCTCACCAAAACAAATACAGGTTGACAACCCTTTATCCGAAATTCCGAAAACCGAAAAGCTCTGAAAACCGAGAAAAAAAATTTGTGGAGCAATTTTTTTTTTTTTTTTTTACACGGGTAATAGCCCACCCGGGTACATGTCACTGACCCACATCGGGGCCTGGGGGGAAAATGTAATAGTAATAATAATTATAATACAGTATTACTCGCCTAACGCGGTTTCACTTAACGCGTTTTATCATATACGCGGTGCCTCGCCAGAGCTGAACTTTCACTTAACACGGATTTTTTCCACATATACGCGGTGAGTGTCCGGCTCGAGACGCTATTTTTAGATTTGCCCCACCCGCCATCCTGCCTGACTGCCTGTTTTAGCTCATAAAATTCATACAAATTACCCGGCCAGAATATAATTTACATTGCTGGAATTCTTATAATTTGGTGATCATTTTGAATATAAACATCATATATTTTGCATTAGACATACAAATTTTAGATAAAAATTTTTCTCAGAGTAACTATGTTATCTTTTGTGCAAAATATATGACATTTATATTCAAAATATTCCTGGTCTTACAAGGAATCCAGCAATGTCAATTATATTATCCTAACTTTAGTTTGAGGTATTATTTATTAAAATTTAGTGGTTATCCCACACATCTCCTTGGGACGGTTGGTGGGGGTGGGGGGGAGGGAGGGACCGACCGACCATCTGTTACCCAGTGAAGAATTATTTTTTTTATTAACTGAAGATATTTGTTTTAGCTCATAAAATTCATACAAATTATCCGGTCTGAATATAATTTACATTGCTGGAATTCTTATAATTTGATGATCATTTTGAATATAAACATCATATTTTTGCATTAGACATACAAATTTTAGATAAAAAATTTTCTCAAATTAACTATGTTATCTTTTGTGCAAAATATATGACATTTATATTCAAAATATTCCTGGTCTTACAAGGAATCCAGCAATGTCAATTATATTATCCTAACTTTAATCTGAGGTATTATTTAATACTAAATGTTAAAAACCCTGGAAGGGAGGATTGGTGGGGGGTGGGGGGGAGGGTTGGGACTGACCGCGCGGTTGGAAGAGGGGGGGAGGCAAGGTGGGGTACTTTGATTGACAGATAGTGTCGTGAAGATTATTTTTTTTTTTATTAACTGAAGATATTTGTTTTAGCTCATAAAATTCATACAAATTACCCGGTCAGAATATAATTTACATTGCTGGAATTCTTATAATTTGGTGATCATTTTGAATATAAACATCATATATTTTGCATTAAACATACAAATTTTAGATAAAAATTTTTCTCTAGGTAACTATGTTATCTTTTGTGCAAAATATATGACATTTATATTCAAAATATTCCTGGTCTTACAAGGAATCCAGCAATGTCAATTGTATTATCCTAACTTTAGTTTGAGGTATTATTTATTAAAATTTAGTGGTTTTCCCCCAAAAATTTCTCTGAGAGGGAAGAGCCGGCAGTGTAGTGTGAGAGGGGGAGGGAGTTGAGTCCATTATTTGAATGGACATTAACTTGGCGACTGTATTTCTCTATTTCTCTTAAGTATTAATTGTGTGCATGTACCATCATAAAATTAAGATGTTATTTTTACTACAACATAGGTATGTGCCTTCAAAAAGTGGAGTTTGGGGGTCGGGCCGGTTTCTATTGGAATTAATCCCATATGTTCTGTTGTTCACTTAACGCGGATTTCACTTAACACGGGACCCTCTGGGTTCTATTGACCGCGTTAAGTGGGGTACAACTGTAATAATAATAATAATAATAATATTTAATAAAAATAATAATAATAATAATAATAATAATAATTAATAATAATAATTAATAATAATTCATAGTAAATAAAATTTATAATAAAAAATACACAAAAATAAAATAATAATAATACAAATATTAATAAAATAATAATAAAGAAATACAAGAATGAAAAAAATATCAAAAGTGAGAAACATGACCTAGACCTAGTAATTATTATTATTATTATACAGTGACCCCTTGTTTAACGAAATAACTTTCGTTAACGAACTGCCTTCCATAAGGATCTTCAATTCGGTTAACGAAGTTAACGAAGTTCTTACGAACCGACCTCAACATGTTTTCGCTTGCACTGACCGGGCAACCAGCTTTAGTATCAGTCTGCCAATACATTAATCGGTTCTAGGGCTTAAATTCCTTACTATTTTAGTAAATATCAAGAAGTTTATACTATTCAATAATTTTAAAAGTTTAATATTAACTTTTTTAGTCATTTTAACAATTACTGAACATAATTGAAGGTAAAGAAACTAGTTTCTGGCGTGCCATCCAGCCTGTTAACACACCAGACAGGCGTTAGTCTCTCTCTGTTTTCAGTGGAGGTAACATCTTGCTTGAGACTCTCTTCAACTAAACGCTTTTTTTCTGTGTTTCCAAGCAAATTATTGGTCATTTTGAAATATATTTTACATATTGACAATATATAATGCAGTGCAGTGTTGATTTAAAGAAAATAATCTTGAAATACACCAAGAGAACTAAAATTTTATGGGTGAAATGGTGCCATGGGGTGACTTCTCTTCCACCCCAATGCCTTCTCTTCTTCCTTCTCCTCCACCCCCATTCTAATTCCCATCATCATCATCATCATCCAGGAGCCTTCTACATACACACACCTCAAAGTAAGTGAACTTTTCTACCATTTTTGTTGAATTTAGGAAATTTTCGGTGAGCTGGAACCACTACCCAAAAACCCATTGAAACAATGGTTTCGGTTAACTAACGCACCTTCTGAACGGATTGAGTTCGTTAACCGAGAGGTCACTGTAATTATAATTATAATAATTATTATATTTTAGCCCCCAGGCCCCAATGTGAGTCAGTGACCTGCTGTGCCCGGGTGGGCTGATCCCTGTAAAAAAAAAAAAAAAAACTAACCATTCTGAAATCTGAAAAATTCCAAAAATCGAAATGCATCTGGTCCCAAGGATTTCGGATAAGGGATTGTCAACCTGTACAGTAAAAGAAAAATATTGCACTACAGTACAGTACATGCAGAAATAGTAAAGGTAGTACACATTCTATTGGAGAAAATATATGATAAGTATAAAAACAATATCAACACATTCACCCCCACTTAAAGAAATGATATAGTACAGTGATATCCCTGTTACCCGGAACAATTGGTGCAGAGCACTTCCGGGCATGAGAGATTTCCGGCTAACCAGACGACTTTCTCAACCCCGGAAAATTCCTTATCCCGGAATCTTTTCCGGTTACTGAGAAAAGTTCCCGAGTGTCTAAACCAGACCTCTGGGTGCTGGGGAAGTTTTCCTCGAGTCTAAACTACCGGAGTCTGTAGGTGCAGCTCTGATTAAGTTAGAAACTCCATTTCTTTATTATAATAATCCAGAATAGTTTATCTTAAAGTTTAGTAAAATAAATATATTTGAAAATTTAAAATCTATATGATGTTGGCATGACTGAAGCTGTGTTACAGCAGACTGGTATTTTCCACTCCCATGGAGCTGTGGGGGATTAGTGGGTCTTGTGTACCTGACCGACTCAATGTTGGGTAGAGGTAGGGTGGGGGATTAGTGGTCTCATATTACTGACCTTCTGATGGAATGTCAGGTCACCCTTTCTTGGCCGGGGTTTAGTGGGTCTCATGACCTGAAGATGTCTTGAATAAACACAAAATCTAAAGTATTTTTAGAGAGATTGTGATAAGTATGAGTGTAAATGGAGTGAGAAAGGTGTGGGTGATGAGAGATGGAGTGGAAAGGAGTGTTGCCAAGCGCTCCTCAACAGCTGATATTTAACTCAGTCTCACACACACACAAATTTGTCACACAATAAGACCCTCACTCCTTATGTCTGCTGTCTTAAATCCCTTGTTAGGGGTATGTGAGTGTGTGTGTGTGTGCGTGTGTGTGTGTGTGACTGGTCATTGGAGTGTGTGTGTGTGTGACTGGTCATTGGAGTGTGTGTGTGTGTGACTGGTCATTGGAGTGTGTGTGTGTGTGTAATAATAATGATAAACGGTTTATTAATAGAGTTGCAGCCGGTGGCTGAAAATATACAAACTTACATGTGATTTAGACATTATAATATACGTTCAATACATTTACAGGGCTGTACAGTTCATAAATCAGGAGCTGTTTATTATCTTAGCAATAGATGGGATGGTGCTATTCTTATATCTATCAGTGCGGGCTCTTATGGGCTGAGTTTTGTTGTAGTGGATGACTGCCGGTGGCAGTAGGTGGCGACGACAAGGATGGTGCAGTAGTCCACTGCCAAACCCTGCTAGTGCGTGGTGGTGGAGGTCACTGAGGAATGGCATTGCCAGGGTGGAGAGAGCGTTGTTGTAGCTGGAGTAGTCTGTGCCGAGCATGATTCTGCAGGCCCTCTTCTGTACCTTCTCTAGCTGACGTTGTTGGGTAGAGTTGAGAGAAGAAGACCAGGCTGGTGATGCATACGTTAATTTGGGGAGAATAAATGTGTTGTAGATGGTCCTCAGCTCTGGCGTGGGTGCCCCAAGTAACCTGAGTCGTCGTATCATATAGAGTCGGTACGAGGCTGCCTTGATTGTGTTGTTTACATGGGCCTTCCAGTCCAGTTTGTGATCTATAGTTACACCCAGAACTTTGGCAGACTGCACTAACTGGAGAGGATGGGCACCCACTGTGACTGCTGGAGCTTGCACTGGGGTGGTGGCGGTATTGATGTGCATGACTACGGTTTTGGTGTGGTTGATGGTGACCTTGTTCTCCGTAGTCCATGCCTGTAGCCTGTCCAGGGTGCCTTGTAGCGATGAGTAGTCCGGTGAGGTGTTGTCCACTGTAACCCCCACAGTGCAGTCATCCACGTACTTCCACCTGTGAGGAGTGTCCGATAGAGCGTCTTTGATCAGGATTGGGAAGCACAGTGGTCCCCTGGGGAACACCGCAGGTGAGGTGTTGGATTGTGGAGATAGAACCCTGGTACCTGACTGCCTGACGACGCTCACTCAGGAAATCAGTGAGCCATGAGACCAGGTTGGTAGGCAGCCCTAGTACAATGGCCTTGTTGATAACAGTGCAGTGATCAACAAGGTCAAAAGCCTTCCTGAAGTCAACAAGGGCAACGGCCAGTGATGTCTTACATTTCTCCAGGTTTTTGTGCAGAAAATCCAGGAAGCTAACTAAGCACTGTGATGTAGAGGAGGTCCTCATATTGCCAAATTGCTGTGGATCAATTGACTGCTAAATACTAGCAAATGCCCATTCAAAAACAAAGTCTTTCACAGAGTAGACTGGGTATGGGGGTAATGGCAACTGGCCTGAGGTCACTAGGGGACTGTGGGGTGGGGACCTTGGGGATAGGGGTGACAAATGCGGTTTTCCATTCATTAGGGCATTTGCTTTGTCTGAGGGATGAATTAATAATGGAACAGAGGGGGGTGGCAAGTTCGACTGCAAACTCCTTGTAAATTTTGATTGGGAGGTCAATTGGGGTTGTGGAGAGTTTGGATTTAAATTTCAGGAGTTTGTTGGCAATTTCAAATGGTTGAACACTGGGAGGGGGGGAGGGGGAGGTCAAGACTGGGTAGGGTATGACATATGGTAGCAAAGTGGTTATTAATTATCTCAGCTGCCTCCTCACTAGGTAAATGTGAGATGAAAGGAAGCGTGGGAGACTGACTGTTGAGACCACAGAGATATTTAACCTTAGAGTACCACTGACCGAAGCCGACCTCCTTGAGGCCGTGCACTTTCCTGGGTTAATAAGACTTCTTGGCTGACTTGATTTCCCTGATGACCTGGTTTCGTAGACTTCTGTACAGGCGGTTGTTGGTGTAGTATGCCTTGTTGCGCTGCTCAATTAGTCTTTTGATACAGGGCGTAATCCACGGGACATCATCGGTGTGGGTCCTCAGTGTCTTGGCTGGAAAGAAGTGGTGGTAGGCTTTGGTGATAGTGTCCAGGTAATTATCCCACTTGTTCTGCACATCGTCTAACGTGATCACTTCAGTCCAGGGATACCAGGTCACCCATTGTCTGAAACGTCGCATGGCAAAGTCGGGGGTGGGTCGCTAAGTCCTGGTGACAACTGGCGGTCGTGAGAAACAAGGATTTGGGGGGGGGGGGGCAAAGAGTCACTCATTTGCTGCTTACAATATTCAGAGTCTTGGCATGACAATGATGTTGCTAGATAATGGCTTGTAAAAGTATTAGGCATATGCTACTGTACTAATTCACACCATCAGACGTAAGATTAATTACCATCACCTTCAATTGAACAACGTCATTATTAAACACACACACACTCTCCACATGCACACACGCACACACAGGGACGTAAAACAGCAGTTTGTGTTGCAAGAAATCAGCATCTTTAGAAAGAAGTTTTGTTTAGCATCGGTTAGATTAAACGTTTTAAGACAATATTAGTATAAATTAATGATAAACAGGCAACCTCATAAACAGCCTGCACACAGCTGTGCCCGATGCATGCTTACCAATTTTTACTTATGTTTATTTATCTAAATATAAATTCATATAGATTGGCTCATTGCTCTATCCATTTTAAAATCAAATTAACAGTATATACTAGCAGAAAGGCATAATATAATGCGGAACAACAAAGCCCAACCATTAATTAAGCAACGGGGAACTAAGTAACCAATCACCTTTCACGTTTACATTCATTCATAATTTTTACTACGTAGTATAGTAAACAAACAGCCTTGAGTTGCCAGCTGTCTCCAGCAGTGTTCGAAGAATCTTGAACGTGACCGTACCTGTTGTAAATTGAAAAGTTGCGAATTCGTATTCAGGGAAAGTTGTCGGAGCTTCCAATAACTTGATGACATAAACCACTGACTCTTCAGGCTTCTGCGCCCCTTAACTCATGAGACATAAAGGCAAGCATGAACTTAGCATGCTTCCCTGTTGGGCGCTGTAAATGCTTCTGCGCTTCACCTTACAATAAATAAAAAATAAAAATAAATAAATAAATAAAATAATGAAATATTAAATTTGCTCCACTAATAAAACTTTTGGTTTTCAGAATTTCTGATAAAGGATCGTCAAGCTGTATATGATACAGTACTGTACAGACTCATAAATCTGATTGGTTGACAAAGTGATGCATACATCCAGATGCATGTAAAATAGGTTGGGTAACAGGTTTCCCACTAACACAATGTGGTTCACTTAGTACAGTACAGAACCTCTTGAGCTTCACATCTCTAGCCCCAACATTTACTGGTCAGAGCAGGATCACAAATAAATAAAGTACAATCTCTTTTCCATTATGAAACATATATCAACATATGGAGGATTAATTTCTATCAGTTCCACTTTCTCAACAATATGGTCATACTTGGAGTGTGTTGCATGAACGGCTCCTGGAGAGGTGAGTCACAGGGGTAGTGTAAGGGCTTGTTGATCAATTTGGGTAGTGCATCTTGAAGAATGATTCCCACTGAGAGGTACAGTAGCCACATTTTGAGATCATAATGATAGGGTAATGCCTATTTACAGTGGAACCTTGATTATTGAACTTACTGTATATGGGGGAAGGGTGGGTAAGAAATGCTGTAAAGTCAGACAATGAAATTAGTCACAAAAATCACATTAATAAATTAACGTATAACTACAGTTGATCCTCCCATAACAGGAAGGGTTAGGTTCCTTAAAAACCCATTGTAAACAAAAAACTTGTTACAATGGCAAAAACACAAATTCTTGATATTTATCAGAGTGGTTGGTCGCGTGGAACCACTCGGAGGTATCTGGGTAAATATCATGCAGGTTTAGCTCATGTTGCTGCATGACTTAACACATTAGTTGAAATGGACTTTTTCTTTTCTACAATACTGTACAGTATTTTTTTCTTCTAGACAGGATTTTACATATTAAACCAATATTATTGCTGGCAAATGTACAATATTTCAGCTTCTTTATGGTTTAAATAGACATTTATGGGCTGCCTTTGAACCAACCACCATTTGTTACATTGTCTTTATGACAAATTGAGTTGAGAGTTCCATACAGATGACTTTGAAAAAAAAAATTTCATTTGGTTATACATTTAGTGGTCTTCTGTATTAATTTACTGTATTGGGTTGTGTCTTTTGCATTTAGTTTGGTTAGTTTTGGGAGAGTAAGGTGTCTAAAAACCAGCCACCAGGAACACATTACCCATTTATAACACTGTGTCTATAGGCAAAAAACTTAACACTATGACTTTTCATTTTACACATGACATCCATAGAATGCATTTATGTCATAAGGACTGCCTGTACTCACCAATACATTTTATCACAAACAATGACAGAGCCTAGAGTTGTTGTGCTGACCTTTGGTTTTGGTTTTTCCATATTGGTTTCCTCACACTTGTCACCATCTTCTCTGACAGTATGCTGTTTAACATTACTCCTAATTGTGTTTGCATTTAGATTATAGTGTTAACATTTCAGGTGTCCTTTACATGTAGAAAAGGGGGAACCATTAGCAGCCCCAAAAAGATAAAATCAAGTCAGTGAAGAGAACAAATGTTTACAGACAACAAGCTGCAGATGCATTCTAGCTTGCAAGATATTTTCCCATGATACATTATGCAGGAGAAAGATGAAAAGAAGGATTTGCACTCTTCTTAACCTATAATAAATGACAATTAGGAAGTACAAAGTAAACTGTGTAAAGACAGCACTTAACTGTTACATTTTCACATTAGTTTTTGAACAGTTTATCCTGCCACAAGACTGAGTTACAAGGAGACTCAGACAGTCGATGTTGTAATGAAGGTCACTTGTCTGTTCCTTGTGGCTATAAAATGTGAGTTCATGCTTCAGTCTTTCACTTTTATTCCAGATTGACGGTGACTTGACAGAAAACAAGAAAGCTGCCCGTGTCTGTGGTGTAGATGGTGAGCACATTGAGGTCCTTCTTGTGCCAATATCATGCATTCAGGATTATCTGTCAGGTATTTTTATCAGTTTTATGATGTTAACTAGAGCTCATTTCATCAAAATGATAATGATACAAATGAATGTTCAAGTGCAGTAATTATACTCTTTACATAAATAGATTTTATTGATGGGAGGTATCAACTCATGCTGAATAAGAACCCTGACTGGCACCTTATTCAAAGCTCTGACCTTTGACTTTTGAACTTAAAAACATAATACACCTCCTCCCCGACTTACGACGGGGATAGGGACCCAAATTCAGGTCGTAAGTCGAAAATGCAAAAATAATACATAGAAAATCTAAAATGGGTGTCTCTTTTTCTTCTCAGTACCACAAAACTCTCACTTTTAAGCTTGCCAGCCATTTTAAAGTGAATTACAAACGAAAATATTGTCAGTACACAACGCAATCACTAACGTCGGGACTCGAAAATACGTAATTTGAACAATTTTGGTACGACTGGGGCGGTCGTATGTCCGGGTGGTCGTAAGTCGAGGAGTGGCTGTAGTTCTTTTGGGTTTCATGGTTGATATATTTTTGCCAAGTTTGAATATTTACTTACTTTTATCCTCTTCACCGCTGATCGACTCGTTAGCAGCTTGGGCGATCGGTCACGTCTCTGTTATGCACTGTTGGCAAGTACTGGGCATGCACCTGCTCCTGAATGTACCTGAACCTGCTCCGGTGTTGGTCAAGTCTGGTCTTGAAAGAGCTCACACTCGGCGCCGTCACAACACTTTCTGGTAGATTGTTCCAAGAGTTCTCAACTCTCACTCCGAAAAAGTTTGCCCTCACACTTTTTCTGGACTTGCGGCTTCTTCAATTTTGAGCTGTGACTCCTTGTGGGGCGAGCGTCCGCCAGCTCCAAGTAAGGACACTCAACTGAGTAATGCCATTTGAGATGTTTGTACACCTCAATTAGGTCACCCCTTGCCTGTCTGTAGTATATGCTAGGCAATTGCAGGCACTCTAATCTCTCTGGGTAGCCGAGGTGCCGAAGTGCCGGCACCAGTCTGGTGGCCCTCCTTTGAACATTTTCAACCAACTGACAGTCCCTAGCATATCTTGGGGACCAGACAGGGTGACAGTACTCCAGATAGGGAAGCACTTCACTCTTAAAGATCGTTACAAGGGACGAACCGTCTAGATATCTGAACGACCTCCTTATAAGACCCAATAATTTATTTGCCTGATTTACCTTCTTCTCGCAATGGCCCGAGAACTTCAGCTCATTGTCAACATACACACCTAGGTCCTTCTCACATTCAGTCTCAAATAGTGCAGTTTCTTCATCCCGTTGGGATGATACGCCTCCTTACCGTTGGTAAGCCCCAGGTGCATCCTCTTACACTTTGTGACATTGAATCTCAGCAGCCATTTCTTCAACTATTTTTAGAGCCCACAAAGGTCCTTCTGCAGCTCTTCACAGTCCGCTTGGTTCTTGATTTCCCGAAATAACTTGGCGTCATCGGCAAACATTTGTATGGAGGAGTGTACAAAGTCAGGCATGTCATTTATGAAACAAACAAACAACAGCGGGCCCAATACACTGCCCTGTGGTACCCTGCTTATGACAGGTACGGATGATGATTTCATGCCATTAATCACCACACACTGCTTTTGGTCATGTAGAAAGTCTTCTATCCATGATAGGACATTTCCCCAAATTCTGTACCCTTCTAGTTTGATTTTCAGCCTTTCGTGGGGTACACTGTCGAAAGCCTTGGCAAAATCTAGGTGAATATTGTAGATATTACCACCCCGTTCCAGAATATGGGTTCATATATCTAACACCTTGAGCAGTTGTGTTAAGCAGGAGCGCCCCGGCATAAAACTATGTTGGCATTCCTTTACAAGGTTATTTCGTAGTAGATGTTCCATCGTGGCATCTCTGATAATACCCTCAAGTACTTTACATTTTATGCTGGTCAGGCTCACCGGTCTATAGGCGTTCGTGGAGTGATGATCGCCCTTCTTGAAGATAGGACTCACATAAGCCACTTTCCATCCTCTGGGAACCTTTTGTTCATCCAGGCATTTACAAAACAGGATCTTCAGGGACTCGGCAAGCTCGTTGCACAACTCTCTTAGCACTCTAGGATGCTCCATGTCAGGGCCGGGACTCTTATGGACCTTTAGCTTTGACAGTTTATTTCTAATACCCTCTTCTGTGAACACAATGTGGGTCAGTGCTGTGCCGAACCGTCTGTCCTCAAACACAGGAAGGTTAATCGCATCCTCTCTTGTGAACACCGAGGAAAAGAAGCTGTTCAATGCCTCAGCTTTATCCTGGTCAGAATCTACGTAACTATCATCTTCAAGCCTCAGGTCTGATACTCCTACTCGCGTTTTTAATTTCGACTTTGCATAGCGGTAAATTTCCTTTGGGTTTGACTTGACCTCGCTTGCAACCAGCCTCTGGAACTCCTTTTCAGCCCTTCTCCATTCTATCTTTGCTTGACTTCTGGCTCTTGCATACATCCTCCTGTCCTGCTCATCGTTTGACCCATCCCACGTCTTGAATTTCTGGGTTTTCTTCTAAACCTTGTCGACCGCCGCATGGTTCATGTGTAGGTAACCCTTCGTTTTCCTAGAGGCACTGGGTTTGGTCTTGGGTATATATTTATCGATAAAATGGGTAACTTTACTAGTTATGATATTCAGCGTAGTGTTTGCGTTCTTGTGCCTCAATGAGTCAGGCCAGTTGATACCCCTCATCTCTTCCCTCATCCCGTTGTAATTTCCCTTGTAATATTTGCACCTTTGCCTGGCCTTATCTTGAACTAGGTAACAGTTAAATCTGAATGACAACACTATATGGTAACTGGTGCCAACTGGGGCAAGGTGTTCCAGTTTGGCCACCATACCCTCCTCGTTTGTCATGACGAGGTCTAGTGGCTTGGGGTGTTTGCTCCCCTTTGTAATGTGTCGGGTCTCTAACATGTTGGAACAGAAAATTATCTCTCAGAGTTTCTACAAAAAGAGTAGCAGGGTTATTCAAGTCATTTGGGGTGAACTCGTTTCTCCAGTCAATGTTGCCCATGATAAGGAGGTGGCTAGGGTTGAGCATTGCCGAGTTGTCTTTTAAGGCTCTAAAGTTCCTTTGATTTAGTGGGCCACAGTTTGGGGATCTGTAGATACACCCGACGATAAGTAAGCCCCTTCCCTTTAGTGTAATTTTACACCACTTGGACTCTTCAAAAACATTCTCTCTCTGTGCCCTCGCCTGGCTGGCTCTAAGGTCTTGTCTAGCATAGATAACCACACCCCTCTTACAAGTTTCTTGAGAAAGGTTTGTAAATGAGTCATATCCAGCAATACTGAACTCACATTCCTCTGGGTCGATTCTCCTGTTCTTGTACAACAGTTGCACAACTCCTACAATATCTGGTTGGTGTACCTTCAGTAGAGTTTCAAACTCCTCTCTCTTATCAAGAAATGTGTCAGTATTAGTGTACATGACATTCAAGCCAGAATTTGCTCTCGGTAATGTCTCTGCTCTTAGTAATAACCCCCCCCCCCGCCCATTCTCAGAAGCTGCAGCATTTGCTAAGTACACTGTATTTTGCAGGGTGTGGCTAGAAATGTCATTGTTTACAAGGCGCTCGCCTCCTCCTGTCTGGAGATGACAGTGGGTGCCTCACTCACATGACTTGCTGGATATGAGTACCTACAAGAAACAAAGCTTCCCTTAAATAGATCACTTTTGGTTAATGTGTTGAATGTGTTTATTCAGTTCAACATCACGTGGAAGCTATAGGCATTTATGGTAACTAGAGATTGTATCATTATTTTTATATGGCTGGTATTTTTATTGCAGTCCACTTAAGTTTTCCATATTGATTATTCTTAAATTGATCTATCCTTTATTGTAGACTCCTGGTCCCTCACCCACAACATTTCTGTGTTTACAGTTGAACTTGACTTAAACTTATACATAGTCAATTTGTTGATTATTCTACATGCTGTATAAACCAGTGGTATCTTTTCATTTAACAAAGTCAAGTTGTCACTTAAAACACATTGTATTTCAGATTTTGCTGCCAGTGGTATGACAGTTGACTCCAGAGTGCATTTTGATATCCAGTCCTAGGCTTCTCTTCAAATAAGCTAAAATAACCCAAAACCAAAACACACATCATGTGCAAGTTATCAGTTGGCTTACATTTAAAAAGCTTTACCTTTAAAATACCCAATACAGTACTGCACTTGGAGCAAAAGTCTAATAGCTCTTATAATATACTGTTATTTTACTGTGTTTATATAAATAACTTCTAAATGAGGAGTTGACAGTAATTTCCACAAATTACCGCTTCATTTACAAGTTAATTCAAAATGTAACTGTACCTTCATTTTCATCTTCTCCAGCCATCCAAAATCACAGACTTTATAAAATTAGGAATGGGATGAGAGGCACATGAAATAGTTCATTAATTTATTAAATAACCCCAACAATTTAGCCATTAACTTGTGAAAACGATAATAATTAATATACTTGAGACTGATTATCAGGGAAGTCACAAATGGCAGTTATTTTTCTAACAGAGGCCCTCAAAAAGGCAGTTAATTTTTATGTTATTTCCTTACATAATCACCTAAATGGTATGTGAAAACAATAAAAGGAAGGAAATAGTAAAAAGGGGTTATTTGTAACTTCACAAGAATCTGTAAATGCCTTTAAAAGTGCTTAACACCTTTTTAGTACAAGACTACCAAGAGGAAACATAAATTATCACAGTAGAAGCCTCTGATCCTAAACTAAAGATATTAATAAATCGATTACAATTCTCATCAGTAACTTAAGCTGCAAGATTGTGCTGTAACATTTCAAGATACAAAATAGAGCTGACTGTTAATATTGTACTGCAACCCATCTGAACCTGCAGAAGAATTAGATTAAATAATACTATTGGTGCAGTCCGTACAGGTCTAGCAGAAATTTCTTTAATATATATATACAACTTTGTGGGCTGGTAGTGGACTTGGTATTCAAATGGTAGCAATGCGGTCACTTTAAAATTATTAATAAAATGAAAAACACATCTCTTTGGAGATTTAAAGGGGAGTGATACCAGACGGCGCGTTCGATGTAATAGATGCAGTTCATAGTATCTTCATTAATATTTCATACACTTCTACACATTAAATGATGTAGGGTTTCATAAGCTGGTGGTCAATCCAAAACATTTCATCCCAAAACTTTGTGATCTGAAATAAAATATTGAATATTAATTTCACAAAATATACAATGTGCTCAACAATCATCATTTTATGACATTTTCATTGGTTGGATATTGGTCTCTTGCAGTCTCTCGCCAGGTTCCTTGAAAAACTCTAATAACCTCTTCCATGTCATTCTTGCCCTAGCTCATCCTTTCTCATGCCCAAACCATCTCAACCTGGCACCCAGGCAGAACTATCATACTCGCTGCTCTGAGCAGGACCTCCTGTCATCCACCTCCCGCATACTCATTGCTTTGCTTAAGTCTACTCATATTTATCCTCTTTACTGCCCATGCTCACTGCCGCCACCAACATCCGCTTCTCACCAGTCACACACACATTCTTCCTTTCACTTGGAGGGAAAGTTTTCAAACTGCGAGCCTTTGTAGGCTTCAGCACCCCCCACCAGCAGTGATCATGTCTGTCAGGTAACAGAACTAATCTAGCGGTCTGGATATATATCCCCAATGTTGAGTTTTCCCAACTTTGCTCTGGGCACATAGTTACCTACAAAACATCAACAACATTTATTGCAGTCTGCCATTTACTCCACTGCATCTCTTGTGTACTTGCATCTTTTATTGAGTTGCTGTCAATACCTTTCTTACAGGCACTTTACATGACCATTTTATAGTTTTATATTTTCTTTATTTCTAAACCTCGTTGTTTACATTGAATGGAATAAGTGTTAAAGCCAGTTTTACCAGACAAATTTGCGAGGTCAGCCTGTAGCAGGTGCGTGTAGGAATTTATTAGGGGGATTAGTGAAAGTTAACCAACCAGAAAATCTCCATCTCTCAATTCCCGTAGGTGCTGTATGTCGGGGCTCTACTGTAATACCTTATGCCACGAGCTAAAATCTTTGTGAGCATTTTTGCAGCACCCTTTGCATTTTATATATAAAAAAAAAAACGACACTGATTATTAATTTTATTTTATTTCACATTCTAGCTTGAAAGCCAAACCATTTGGGCTATGCATTGCTGTATTAACAAATTATAAATAATTATTACAATACCTTCACACATACATGCTAACATGCAAGCGTGGAGAGAAATGGCCCATAAAACAACGATGATAATTAATAATATACCTGGGTAAATAAAGCTCTTTATAGGCCATTATCATTTGCAAGTCAAAAGACAGTTGGAACTGCATCCCCTTAGGCCTTGAAACAATCATATCATTGAAGATCTCATAGTAAGAAAAATACTCTCCTTAACCTTTACCAGTTTTTGTATTTGCCCGAGTTACTAACATGATAACCCTGGATCAAGTAAATCTGTGTGACTTACCTGTTCATATACAGTCCATGCCATAGCTGCCATAAATCATGTAACATCACGAGGACCAGCCGCTGAAAAACTGTAAGATCATCCATACTTCTTGTTCACATACCAGACAGCCTCATAGAAAGAGGTGAATTTGTGTGGAGTAAACCTGCATCTTAGTCTTGACAACATCAAGGGCTGGGTGACTGCTGATGCCATGAGCCCAGCCAGCACTCCTAGAGTGAAGAGTGAACTGGAGGAGCCATGTTACCTTCCATATCCTGTTGAGCCAAGCTTTGTTTAACACACTCACGGGGTGACTTAGAAATTGATTCTGTAAAGGTCGGGGAGGTCAAGTTATCTTGGTGCATATTTTTCACTTTATGTATTTTAAATCAACTAGCTGCTTGATAAATCCATAACTTTCACTCTGTGGTACTCGCTTCTTTGTTTGTGTATAAAACATGAGATAGAGGCAGAAAGGAGCATCCGCAGGAGGTGTAGGAATCAGACCACAGGTAAGGCCTCTGGTGCCCTCTTTCCTGTAGATTGAACACATAGCTTCTCTCTCCCATACTACCATAACTATACCTCCCTTCTGTAGAAGCAAATAAACACTCATAAATACTTGTCACAATATATATATACAGTACATCATAAGGAATGTAACAAAATATATAAGTTCCTTGGCCAAATTCATAAACTCCCAGATAAATATATATATATATATATATATATATATATATATATATATATATATATATATATATATATATATATATATATATATATATATACCTAAACCCCGACTTACGACGGGTTAAGGGACCAAATCAGGTCGTAAGTCCGATATGGTCGTAAGTCCGATATAGATAAAAAAAAAAAAAAAAAAAAATACTAAAATCTATGAATTACAGTACAGTAAAAGTAATAAATAATGATGAATGGATACAGTACAGTGAAAGTAATAAATAATAAGGAATGGATACAGTGTGACTGAGCATAACCTTTAATGTAGTCAGCTGAATGCACATGGGGCCCCCATAATTTTCTAATTATACATGGAGACTACATTTACTGAAACTTTTCGGTATAGAAAATGCATGCATTTAAAAATTTTTTTTTTTTTTTTTTTTTTTTTATCTGAGGCGGTCAGTCCCGACGGTCGTAAAGTCCACGTAGTCGTAAGTCGGTCTAGGTGGACTTACGACCGTCAGGACTTGACCGCCTCAGATAAAAAAAAAAAAAAAAAAAAAAAAAAAAAAATTTTTAAATGACACTACCAAATTTTCCAGAAATTCCATTAAAAAAAAAAATTTTTTTATCGGACTTGACATCAGTATTGACCTATATATATATATATATATATATATATATATATATATATATATATATATATACTAGTACAATATATATTTTCAGGCAAGTAATTGTTTTCTAAAAATATAAAAGGTAATATTCAATACACATCTCATAAATATTAATCACTGACAGAACTTACAGGTTAAAGTTTTATCAGACAACTTGTTTAAGTGTCCAATACTATACTATATTATACTATACTTGTAACACATTTATATGATAGAGTGCACATAGTCTTAATGTTGTGAGATAAGCTTTTCCTACCTCATATCGTGTCTTAATGACTGTGATAGGAATCATGGTGACGCCTGTGATGGTACGAGCCACCACCCCAAGCATAAGGGCGTCGAAAGGCCCTGGCTGACCCTCACAGAAGTTGGTCTTCAGCCAATGCAACGATGAAAAGTACAGGCCAACACCTGGCACACAACGGAAGATGCTCTGAAAGTTACAAATGTAACATTGTTAGTTTCAATACACTGTTGTGTATAAATAGTATAGTCAGTCACTTCAATCTAACTTATTCATAAGTCAAACAAGATGAAAGAACTAGACAGTACAGTATCAGTGTAGACATACACTGCTCAAGAACACTTACAGGAGTCATGCCTTTCCATAATCCAAAAAGACGTTCATTACGCACCACTTTGCCTACTATGGCAAACATGCCAACAGAACCACCAGATCTGAAATACAAAGTTTCAGACAAATGTTACCCTTATCTTTTTACAACAACAAACAATGTTGGTAACTATATAAACACTAAACAAAATTACACAGTACTGTACATTATTCTAAAGCTCTTCTCTTTGCTACAACAATAATGATAATTTCGTACACAATAAACATTCACACAATCTCAACCTCCTGTAGGCCACAGCAGCCTAGTGACTTTGAGTCATTATTATTAATGGGTACTGTACATATTCCACATGACATTCTACAGTAGAGGATAAGTTGTAATAAATTCACTGATATGGTTTCTGGGATTTCAAAATTCTAACCTAATCTCACTTTAAATCATTTCAACAAAATTGTTGACTAGGTTATGTTAAAATTTTGAATTTCCAGAAAATGAGTTCAATTAATAACATTAGGTGCAGTACTGTACAGGACCACAGAAGGTGACTGAGAGAACTGTTGGATCCAAACAGGTCTTGCAGCAGCTAGGAACTCTGCAGAAGTGTTGAAAAGATCATAATTAGTAGACCTACTGAGATGGGATCACAGGAACAATATACAGTAGTCATCTTTGGAGTCCCTGAGAGTTAGTCAGAGGAAAACACACGATAGTTGGAGGTTCGGAATACCTGTAGTTATGCAAAGGCTCTGAACCTGTCGGGTACCCCTTACAAAGTGAGGAAGCTAGGACAAAGGCAAGAGAATAAGTCCCGCCCCCTCAGAATCACACTAGAAAATGTGGAATGAAAGTCGGAAGTCATTTGGCAGATAGAAAACTTAGCAAGGAACGAAGCATTTTGCGGTACTGGATATTCATAAGCCCAGATCACACGATAATGTAGAGGGAACAGCACAAAGAACTCCTGAGGTGCTTGAAGCAGAAGAGGGAGGAGTCAATGGAAAATGGATGGATGTGCATGGGGGAGTAGTGGCTGCAAGTGCACCAGTACAGAACCAGAGGACAGGGAGAAACTCCCCAACCCAGGAGGATGCGTGCGCCATGTAAACGATGTCATCTGTGGCCGCATCTCACAAAATATGGTGAGTTTAGTAAACAAGGCAGCTGCTAAAAATGGAGGGAGACCGGAGTCACTACCAAGATCAGATAAGTTACCAAGGACCGTTTCCGGCTTAAAAGTCAAGTACGCTAATACAGTGACATCTCCATTTGCCGGAACAGTTGGTGCAGAGCCTTTCTGGGAGAGAGTTTTCCGGATAACGAGACGACACTCTCAAAGCCGGAAAAAATCCCTCATCCCGGGAATTTTCTCAGAAGTTCCAGAAATTGCCCATTACATCATCTCTCGAACCCAGAAAATTATCCCTCATCCCCGAAATTTTTGCATGTACCGGAAAAAATTTATCGGAATTAACGGAAAATGCGCCTGATTTTCATCTCTCAAACTAGGAATAAAACCCCCATCCCCAAAATTTTCTGGAATTTTCCAAGTCAGGAAATTTGGGGGGAATTTTATGGAAAATGTGCCCTTCAGAAAATACATTCTCAAGGCCGGAATTTTTTGGAAAATTTTGGCTTTGGGAACGATTTTACGAGAAAATTTAAATTCCGGCTATTGGAGAGTTCCGGGTTTGAGGGATTCCGGCTAACAGAGATATTACTGTACTGACACTTTCCTTGACGAAAGAGCGGAGTTCGAAACTTTACTCAAGGCGCATCGGCATGATACAGTATACAGTAGTAGGTGTTGTAAATATGGGCATACTGAAATAAATAAAAATACTGTAATAGCTTTGTAGTGGACCTCTCCCCTACAACTGCGTATCCGCATTCCAATGCGACAGTATCCTAGCAACCAAACGAGCTGCCCAGGGGGGGGATCGCCACCTGCTACGTCTTCCCTAGCAACAGAGCCAAGAAACCGGCGAGTTCCCACGGGTTTACTTCCGGCTGCTGTGTATATAAGCTCTCATTCTCTCCAGTAAGATTCATTCTTCTCTCAGTTCCTGAACACGCAACACCTCCTCCAAGCAAGCTCCTCGCTGTCCAGCTCTCATTCAACCTGGAGGCCAGCAACATGCAACATCCCCTCTAACATAGCTCCTGCACATCTACCTCCTCAAGCACGCTACTCACTGAACGTGTCTTCTGAGCAAGCCTCTCACCAAACGGCATCTCCAGCACCAGACTGTCTTTCATATAATATATTTTATATAAGAAAACCACCACCTAGAGTTTCCATCAATCCCATCCTGAGTGCTAGACAACATAACCTCACGTAACCCTACAAATGGTGACCCACGGAAAAACGCACTCACACAGGATGGAGGACGGACGGATCTCTCTACCGACTTTCAACCACAACGTCGAGGACTGGTTAGATCATGTGGAAGCAATCCTCATCTGCTCACAAGCTACTGACGAGCAAAAGTACGGTGCCCTGCTCTCCTCCTTGCCCACGGAAATCGCCACGCATGTATCACGGACTACTTCCAACCCTCCAAAAAAACAAAAATTCACCACCCTGCGGGACGCCTTAAAAACACATTACCGACGGACCCGCCCCAGTCTCCTGCAGAACCTATCTTCAATCTCCCTTGGAAACTCAACTCTGGGACTTCTCTGGGAGGAGATGTGTAGGCTGAACTCCCGGCACACACACAGACTTCCCGACCCTATCCTGCGCCAGCTTCACGCACAAAAGCTCCCCACACAAGTACCTATCACCCTGTCCGCAGTAGGTTACTCGTCGACACCTGAACTTTACGCAACCGCGGCAGATAGTATATTCAACGAATACACTGCTGTGTGCCATGCTGTCGCAAACCACTCAGTGGTCACACCTCCACTTAGCCCCGGTTTTGTCAACCTGATCAACGCTCCTCAGAGAAGTAATATTCCTCCAGACAAGCAAGACATCAGGGACCTGTTGCAAACCTTGAACCGCAGGATGGACACCATTGAACAGCTCTGCTCCTCCATGCCTGCTTCTTCTGTTCCTGCCCCACGCACTGTGTCCTACCAACCCCAACACCCCTGTCCTGCCCCAGACCCCACCGCCAGCCCCCAGCACAATGTACCTACCTTCTGTTGGTACCATCAACGTTTTGGGGCTAAAGCTAGACGCTGTGAGGCTCCCTGCAACTACACGGCGAAGCAACACCGACGGAGACTGGTAGACGCCATAACCTCCGCCACTATCAAGCAGCACATCACACGCCTTACTTCTGACCTTGACCACTTCACTCCTGCTGCCCGTCACGACCTACTACAAACACCACGTCAGGCAGTTCCTGCATTCAAGGCTACTGCCCCACGCCAGCCTTCCCACCGCCCTGAACACATTCATCCCGCACCTCCTCCGCCAGTCTGCCCACCATTGCTACTTAGAGCACCACCTCGCCCACAACATTTCTGCATACCCTCTTTTCATCCTCAGGTACCTACTGCTCCTGACGACCCCGCAGCCGGCCCTAATGACCCAGGTACCCCACCCGGCACCCCTGCACCTGCCGCGAGAGAAGCACCACATTCCTCGCCAGTACAACCTTCTCTTACCCACAACCCTCCTTCTCCCTCTGCTTCTCCCACAGATCTTGTGCCTCCAGACAGAGTCGTCACCCGTAGCGGCTGAGTCGTCCACACCCCTGACCGTTATGTCTCACATGTGAGATACAACCCTGCCGACAAGTCTCCTACAGCGCCCCAGGGGAGGGGGAGAATTGTAGTGGATCTCTCCCCTACAACTGCATATCCGCATTCCAATGCGACAGTATCCTGGCAACCAAACGAGCTGCCCAGGGGGGGGGGTCACCAGCTGCTACAGTATCCCTGTGCACAGGGGGAGGGATCGCCACCTGCTACGTCTTCCCTAGCAACAGAGCCAAAAACCGGCGAGTTCCCACGGGTTTACTTCCGGCTGCTGTGTATATAAGCTCTCAGTCTCTCCATTGAGAGGCATTCTACCCTACGTTCCTGAACACGCAACACCTCCTCCAAGCAAGCTCCTCGCTGTCCAGCCCTCATTCAACCTGGAGGACAGCAACACCCAACATCTCCTCTAACGAAGCTCCTGCACAGATACCTCCTCAAGCACGCTACTCACTGAACGTGTCTTCTGAGCAAGCTTCTCACCACACGGCACCTCCAGCACCAGATTGTCTTGTATATAATATATTTTATATAAGAAAACCACCACCTAGAGTTCCATCAATCCCATCCTGAGTGCTAGCAACATAACCTCACGTAACCCTACAGCATCACTAATTGAACAGCAAGCTCATTATGAATGTACAGAAAATATTCATTTTCTCTGGGTACGGCACTGGTTGTAGAACTGTTGTACAAAAACAGGAGAATCGACCAGGAAGACTGTGAGTTCAATATAGATGGATATAATTCATTTACCTAAGAGCCAGCCAGGTGAGGGTACAGGAAAAGGATGTTTTTGAAGAATTGAAGTGGTGTAAATTTAAACTAAAGGGGAGAGACTTACTCATTGTTGGATGTATCTACAGATCCCAAAACGTAGCTTATTAAACCAAAGGAACTTAAGAACCTTAATTAACAATGCTGTGGCACTCAACCCTAGCCACCTCCTTGCCATGGAGGACTTTAACTATGGTGACATCGACTGGAGAAATGAAACCACACCAAATGATCTTAATAATCCTGCTTCTCTTTTTGTAAAAACTCTGAGAGACAATTTTATATTCCAACATGATAAAGATCTGACTCAATACAAAGGGGAGCTTCCTTGAGAACCGATCCATGGCAGTTGTTGTCGAGAGGGATCGCCCTCTCGCTCCTTCTCTACCAACAGTGGTGTCCCACAGGGTTCTGTTCTTTCACCTCTCTTTCTTCTTTTTATCAATGAGTTACTTCACACTACAACTAATTCTATCCATTCTTACGCTGATGATTCTTCATTCTTTTTCACATTTTCCCCTTCCTCCTAACTCTCAAACTCGATCTGTTTCTAGAGCTGATATCATTACATCTATCAATGCAGATCTGTGCAGCATCTCCGAATGGGGAGGTAGAAACTTGGTTAAATTCAATATAAATAAAACTCAGTCTTTACCAATTACACTTTCCACATTAGATGATCTCCCACCAATCACATTTCAGGACACAATCATTCTGCCAAATTCTAAAATAGATATGCTAGACCTCACCATTTCCTCTAATATGCCATGGAAGCCATACATCCTCAACATTGCTAAAGCTGCCTCCCAAAAGCTGGGAATGTTGTATAGATGCTGTAGCTACTTCACTCCTGAGCAATTGCTTCAATTATATAAAAGATTCATTCGTCCTAACTTGGAGTACAGCTCTCATATCTGGGGTGGCTCTTCTTCTGTCCAACTGTTAGATAGGGTGGAATCAAAGGCATTTTGTCATATTAACTCTCCTCCTTTAGTTGACAATCTTCTCTTTCTCTTCGCTGCAATGTTGCTTTAATCTCTCTCTTCTACAGGTACTTTAACGGTCAATGTTCTGTGGATCTGGCAGCCTGTGTAACGCCAGCAAGGCCGTGGGCTCGTAACACACGTCTTGCCCACGGTGCCCACAGTTTCTCTGTGGATGTTGGTCACGCTAGAAAAACCCATTATAGTACATCCTTCTTTCCTCACACAGCCAAACTGTGGAATGCTCTGCCTTCTTCTGTGTTTCCATACTCATACAAACTGTCTCACTTTAAAAAGCTGGTTTTCCGGAATCCTTGCGGTGTAGATTAATATAACCTTTTCATTTTCTATTTTTAATTTACTATCTATTCTTATTTTTTCGTCCCCCAGGCCCCGTTGTGGGTCGTTGACCTGTGCCCGGGTGGGCTAATACCCGTAAAAAAAAAATGCTGGACCTCATCATAACTAATGAGGAGGGTATGGTGACCAAACTGGAACACCTAGCCCCCTTTGGCACCAGCCATCATGTGACATTGTCCTTCAGATTTAACTGTTACTTGGTTCATGATAAATGCAGGCTGGGGTTCAAGTATTACAATGGTGAGTCTGGCTCACTGAGAAACAAGACTGCAGACACTACACTGAATATCATAACCAGTAAAGTGAACCATTTGATTGATAAATATATGGCCATGATGTTGTAGTAAGTGCCAGGCCCAAGAACTACTGGTTTGTGAGTGGAACCGAGTCCACCTGGTGTAATGAGACATGCCTGTGGCCACGATGTAGTCTTGTGGAGCTTTGAGATATTTGGTTCACACTCAGGATGGGATGGAGAAAGGAAACTCTGTATACATATTGTATTGGATGTACAGTGCAGCTTGGTGCTGGGAAGTGGCAGCGTGGTTACAAGCGTGATGTAGAGAGAGCTGGTTGGTGAGGGTGCTCAGAGGAGGACCAGCTTGTGGGTCGCCATGGTCGCCGGCGGGAGTGAGGGCCGCCAGGCAGGAGTAGAGGAGGAGGTGTTGCTTGAAAACTGGCTGTAGGTAGATATAGTGGTCACCACGAGTGTGGGTCGCCATGGTCGCCGGCGGGAGTGAGGGCCGCCAGGCAGGAGTAGAGGAGGAGGTGTTGCTTGAAAACTGGCTGTAGGTAGAAAGAGCTAGGTCTCCACGAGGTCAGGTCTTATATAGCGGGGGTAGGCGTGGCTTAATAGTTGACCTCCGTCATGTAAGGCGGCGCTGGTTGACCCAGACCACGAGGCATACACTGGGGAATTCGCGGGGTCGGCTACTCAGCGACAAAAGCGTTTGTAGGGGAGGTATCCACTACAATACTTCCCCCTTCCCTCCAGGCGGTGTAGGAGACTTGTTGTCTGCAGGGTTGCATGGCACATGTGAGGCAGAACGGGCGGTGCATGCCACATGTGAGCAATAACGGCGATGGCGTGGATGAGCCGGCCGCTAGAGGAGACAACTGTCTAGATACACAATATCTGTGGGAGAAGAGAGGGAGAAAAAGGGTGTGTGGAGGCGATGAATGTTGTGCTTCCCTCGCGACAGGTACAGAGTCTTGCTGAGGAAGGAAGAGGAGCTGGTGTCTGCTTAGAGAAGCAGAGCTGCTCTAGGGTGTCTAACCTGTGGTGTAGAGACAGTAGCTGTAGAGCCGATGAGAGCTGCTTCTGGGTGGATAAGCCAGTCTTCCGTGTTGCTTGAAGACTGGGAGAGTGATCGGTTTCTCCTCCATCCTGTGTGAGTGCGTCACTCCAGGGTCACCATTTGTGGGGTTTCGAGATATTTGGTTCATACTCAGGATGGGATGGAGAAAGGAAACTCACAATGTGCTTATCCACACAGAAGCAGCTCTCATCGGCTCTACAGCTACTGTCTCTACACCGCAGGTTAGACACCCTAGAGCAGCTCTGCTACTCTAAGCAGACAGCCGCTCCTCTTCCTGCCCCAAGCACCACGTCCTACCGACCCCAACACACCCGTCCTGCCTCAGACGCCGCCCCGGCCCAGCAGTACCCCCTGCCGCTCCTCCTGATGCAGCCCCTGCTCCTGACCCAGGCCCACACACCCCAGCAGGCGCATCTGACAACTCTATACCTGCCTTGAGGGAAGCACAACATTCATCGCCCCCACACACCCTCTTTCTCCCTCTCTTCTCCCACAGATCTTGTGTGTCTAGACAGTTGCCTCCACTAGCGGCTTGCTCATCCACGCCATCGCCGTTATGTTTCACATGTGGCATGCACCGCCCGTTCTGCCTCACATGTGCCATGCAACCCTGCAGACAACAAGTCTCCTACACCGCCTGGAGGGAAGGGGGGAGTACTGTAGTGGATTTCTCCCCTACAAACGCTGTTTGTCGCTGAGTAGCCGACCCCGCGAATTCCCCAGTGTATGCCTCGTGGTCTGGGTCAACCAGCGCCGCCTTACATGACGGAGGTCAACTATTAAGCCACGCCTACCTCCGCTATATAAGACCTGACCCCGTGGTGACCTACCTCTCTCTCTTCTTCTAGCTACAGCCTCAGCCAGCAACACCACCACCTCCTCCTCCTGCCTGGCGGTCCTCGCTCCCGCCGGCGAGCATGGCGACCCACAAGCTGTCCTCCTCTGAGCACCCTCACCAACCAGCTCTCTCTACATCACGCTTGTAACCACGCTGCCTTCCCGGCACCAAGCTGCATTGTACATCCAATATAACATGTATACAGTGAGCACATTGTGAGTTTCCTTCCTCCATCCCTCCTGAGTGTGACCCAACAACCTGTACCCCACAAGGTCAGGTGCTGGTCAACTACCCTTTAGTGTATGGTCCTTGGTTGGCGCCCCACGTTATTCCATTAATCTTTCCTGGGCAGTCTTATCATCACTATGTGTTTGCTCTAAAGTTCATGTTAATATTTATTTATTTATTTACTTCATTTTAATACTACCCGCTGAATCTGTTATTTACCGTCTACATTATAAATATTTATTGGGCATAAATTAATATATTTGCCCATTTTAATATTATAAAATACGCGAATATATATTATTATTTAAAAATTTATAAAATAATATCAACGACTTTATTACCATACTTATACATTAAATATTATGTTACTATTTTGTAACCCTGAAGACAGCAAGTGGAGCGGTGGGTGTTGGGTAACGAGGCTGGGCAGCACCGGGTGACTCGTCTCTATAACCATATTACACCTCTCATAACCACTATGGCCACCTTGATCGAGCTAACAGATAGGGACAGTGGTGTAGCGAGCAGCGAGGCTACACCAGAGAGCCAGGTTGTTAGTCCCACAGCTCAGGAGGAGGCGGCGAAGGTGGTGGGGGAGGCCGTGGAGGCTGCAGCTGCCAAGGTGTCGTCTGCTGCCACTACAGACGAGGCTGACGGCCCGGGTGTTATAGCCAGAGTCCTTCCTGACGACGATGATGAGGTGTGTATATTGTGGGGCTTTAGTGTGTGAGAAAACGGTCTGGAGTTTGTTGTGAAAATTGTCTTGTAGTGATGGTTTATGTTAATGCTCTACCCCAGGCAAGGAGCCGCCTCATAATAAAGATGTCATAGGCAACATTTTTCGGGAATAATGGTGTTAAAGATTCGTCTTATGCCATAATGGGAAATTGGATCCTAAAATAGGTTGGCAGTGGATATTTTGTAGTTACTGGCTAAGTTCCTACTTGCGCTATTTTACCGTGAGTGTGCTCTGATTGGTTAATCGGTCATTACCGGCAAACAACTCGAGAACTATATTCGACCGTGACTGGCAACATTTGGCATTTATTTCGCCGTGAGTCAATTGTTGTGTAGTTGTAAACATACCTAACCATATTTCTATTGTGCATGGAAACTATCATTATAAAAGAGGCAACATTTACTAGAACCTAACAGAACCTGACCTAACAAACAAGGAAACCTACCTAACTTCCCAGCTGGGGGGGGGGGGGTCCCTTCCCCAGACCCCTTGCCATATTAAATATAAGTTACTTTCATATATGGTACCAATGAAAGCAACTTTCTTGAAATAGCATGGAGTAATTTTACTTTTTTTGTGGATGTAAGTGTAATAAGTAAAATCTTAAGTAGAAATAATAGTAAGAAGTTATTTAGTTATAGGATTGTAAAGTGAAGAAGTTTGGTAGCAAGGCCCAATACCGTAGGTATTTATTGTTAATATATTCTTAGGGGGAATCTTCTTAACACCAGCTCTAAGTACAGCTATCTATTAATCACTCAATGGTATGGACACATGAATAGATCATCATATTTACTTTGCTATACAATGACTCTCGGACAACAAACATGAAATAGATACACTTCCCACCGTAAGTAACTCGCCTTAAGGATCGCTCTGACATTGACTCACGTGTGACCTGAGGGAGGCCCAGTGGGTGCTGCTGGACTATGTTTCCTGTGGGAGAGACTGCTAGTTGGGGCTCGGTGTTGGGGAGGAAAGTTTCCCTCCCGACCTCGACTAGTGATGACGAGCGTTACTTCTGTCTTCTTCGGAGTTCTGTCGGCCCCTTCCCTGTTACAATAATAATCTGATGCTAATTACTCGTGGAAGGAGCTGCAGGCTCTTATATTGGCGATGACAAGCCGGAAGATGTCGTCACTAATCCGGGTGTGTCTGGTCAGGTAACAGGTGTACTGGCTGGAGGTTAGCTTCTTGAGTAACACGGTCATGTCGCCGGGTTAAGGTAATCGCTTGGCAGTGAGAATTCTGGTTCATTGTGACTGTGACCTCTCTTGGGTCAGGTCTTACTCTCTCTTTAATTACAAAGGGTGGGTCAACTTACGAGGGTTATCATGTGGGCATGTACATACTGTTATAGGTGCTGTTCTTCTCTGGGGTGTAAGCTATGGTCTGATAAACAATCATTCCAGAAGAGTACGATCTGACCGAGCGCTCGGTTGTTGCACATAAATAAACAGCAGACGACAACACGCGCCTAAAGGTGACAGATATTTATGGTAAATAATTAATTTCTTTGTGTACAAAGCACGTAGAGACATCATTTTAGTGTCAAATGATAATTTTTTTATCGTGTTTTATCGCACAATTTCCCTCATCGTTCATGCCCCGCCCACTACCAGTGATTAATGTCGTATCATTTTATTACAGAAAAATTATCGTTTTGGTCATCCACCTAATTGGAAGTTGAAATAAATTTTTTCTGATGGTTTATGGTGTGTTTTGAACAGTTCTGACCTTCATTTCTACCGCAAATCACTACTATTTTTTCAGCTACCCCCCTTATCCAACGATAAGGGGAGACCCCCAGTGGGGACCATGGGTTTTGGGTGGGGAAAAATCACAAAAAGTAGTAATTTGTGGTAGAAATGAAGGTCAGAATCATTCAAAACACATCATAAACCATCAGAAAAACATAATGTTACGACCCTCTTTTCATCACTTACCCAGCTTCCACCACTGGTTACCAGCAGCCAGGGTCGTATGTACAGAAGCAGTAGATATCTCACAAGAGTTGTCGAATTACCACTGGCTGTCCCTCCAGTCCTCGGTAACTTCCCAACGATTGGTATCAGTGTACAGACAAGCAACAGGCAGGTAGATTTCCACCAGGTCACAGAAACACTCTTGTGCACTGTAGTCTTCTTTAATAAACAGTAATTCTTCACAACACTGTAACAGGGTAATGTCTTCACAGCTTGACTCCACACTTCTAATATGTAGCCAGCACACTGCCTTAGTCTTCTCACTTTTTATTAATTACAACAATTCCACAATACTTGTATACAACGATTGTCTTCAGTTGTTCTGCTAGGCTTAGTCTTTACACTAGGTGAGGCGAGCAACTAACTCCACTAGGCAGCGATGTCCAGACGCGGGAGATTGGCTTGTGTCACGCCTGGAGAATTCTAGAATGATCTAGGCTTACAAGAAGAGATGAATCATAAAAAATGATGCAATGCATCCTAGAATATTCTTACATGATTAATAAATCAATGTCATCAATATATGCACAAAAATTTCATTAAATTTACCAAAAATAACTGCTGCATGGGACAGAAAATGATCAAAACCTCCATTTACAAGATTATAATACAAAATTATGCCTCGGCATAACAATAATTATAACTTTTCTTGGTGAAGGTGGCAGAGACGGTTATCACCAGAAGAGCTTATGGAATTGCACCAAAGTTTTGGGAGATGTTAATAAATAAGAAAATCACTACAACAATGCACAGACTCTGACCTAACTTCCTAATCGAGGGGCTCTGCCATATAAAGTTGTTTAACCATATTAAGATGCTAACTACTCTCCCAGACCCCTATAACAACAAAAGATGCTTACCATAATCTTAAGGTGGGTCAACTGTACACTTAAACAAGTTTCTTTGTCATGGTATTGGAGAGTTCTTGGGATTGATGGTTCTGGCTAATGAAGAAATTACTGTACAGTAGTATTGAGAATTTTTATTTTATTTTTTCTACAATTTTATCCATAATTTGTTAATTAAATTTTTGCAATGTTATAGAAAGATACCTTTGTAAAAAGTGGGATACTGTACTGTGTCTGTATAGATAACTGTATTAGCTAGGTACTGTACCCTATACTGTACTGTACTGTGTCTGTATAGATAATTGTATTAGCTAGGTACTGTACCCTATACTGTACTGTGTCTGTATAGATAACTGTATTAGCTAGGTACTGTACATAAGAACATAAGAAAATAAGGAGTCTGCAATAGGCCGGTTGGCCTGTGCATTGCAGCTCCTGTCGAGAGTTACTACCACTCTATCATCCATGAATCTATCCAGCCTCCTTTTGAAACTTTCCAGCGTTCCAGCACTTACTACAAAGTTGCTAAGCTTGTTCCACTTGTCCACCACCCTATTTGTGTACCGTTTCCTTCCTATCACCCTCCTAAACCTAAACTTATCCAACTTAAATCCGTTGCTACGAGTCCTATCCTGCTCGGATATTATAAGAACTTTATCTATATCCCCTTTATTGATTCCTTTCACCCACTTAAATACTTTTATCATATCTCCCCGCACTCTTCGTCTTTCTAGGGAATGCAAGTTTAGTTTCTTTAACCTATCCTGATATGGAATGTTTCTAAGTCCCGGAATCATTTCCGTCATTCTTCGCTGCACCGACTCTAGTGAATTGATATCCATTCTATAATAAGGGCACCAGAACTGAACCGCATAATCGAGGTGCGGCCTAATTAGCGCAAGATATAGTTGCAATAAGACCTCTGCACTCTTATTACTTACACTTCTAGATATAAAACCCAATACTCTGTTTGCCTTATTTCGAACATTAACGCACTGTTTTCTAGGCTGTAGGTCCGGGCTTACAAGTACTCCTAAGTCTCTTTCACAAGTCGACTTCTCTAGGTTGATGTTGTTAAGGCTGTATACATTGACAGTATTTGTTCTTCCAATATTAAGTACGCTGCACTTGCTGGTGTTGAATTTCATTTGCCATTTTTCAGACCACCCCTGCAGTTTATTTAGATCCTCCTGTAATGCATTTGCATCCTGCCCTGAAATAATCTGCTGCCCTATTTTGGTGTCATCTGCAAACTTGCTTATGTCACTGCTGATCCCAGTATCTAAATCGTTTATGTGGATTATGAACAAGAGTGGGCCTAGTACTGACCCCTGGGGAACCCCACTGGTTACACGGCCCCACTCAGATTTAACACCATCTACGCTGACCCTCTGCGTTCTATCGGTGAGCCACGATTTTATCCAGTTTAAAACTTTCCCCTCGATACCATGAGCCTTAATTTTTCTCAGAAGCCTCTGATGCGGTACTCTGTCAAATGCTTTGCTAAAATCTAAGTACTGTAAATAACATCGTAATTTTCTTCATTATCTACAACCTCGTAGACTTTCCTAAAAAGCGTCAGCAGATTTGTTAGACAAGATTTTCCCTTTGTAAACCCATGTTGAGAGTCGTAGATTAATTTGCTTTTCTCTAAATGCGAGCGGATGCTATCTGCTGTAATTGATTCAAGAAATTTCCCCACTACTGACGTCAAACTGATCGGCCGGTAATTTGACGCTGATGCTCCGTCTCCCGTTTTGAATATGGGTACAGGTTGTACCTCTCTAGTCCGGCAACCTCAGGACCTGACCGGTTCCGGACCATGGAAATTCACCCTTTTCCTGGATAGATAGTGACTTGTGCTTATGCTTGGAAGCACTAGCACCACTTTCTCTGCATCATGGTCTCTTTGAAGACATATTGAAGGGTTAAATGTAGTATAGTAGCTTCTCAAATTTTGCGAGTTTTTAATTCAACGTATTTTATTGGAACACAAAAAAAAATAAATAAAAATTTTGACGGCGGAAACTTGAATTTCGACGGGTTTGAACGGCCCGCCAACGTGCAGACAACGTGCATAATCGTGTAAACAGCGTCATTTCTCTTATGTACAAAAGATTCATTATTGTTTATTACTGAATGTCTTTTTTTATTGAATTAATGTTTGTGTGCAAAATGAGCAATACAATTCATTAATAATACGTAGAATATTAAAACACACGAGGAAATGACACAGCATTGTTTTCGTTGATTACAAAACCAGTGACTGACTGGTTCTACATATAAAAGTGAAGAAAATAAGACCTTGGTTGTAGCTGTAGTAAAATTAATATGGTTGTTTTAAGTAATGTTATTTAATGTTAATAAATGGAACAATAGAAGTAGCTAACGATAATGGTAAAGAAAAAAGAGAGATCGCGTATGTAAGTGCGCACACGTGAAAACATAACGTTATTACTTTACATAAGAATATGAAAGCAACACTTATTTACTGTTCATATACAGTGACCCCTCGTTTAACGAACACCTCGGTTAACGAACTGCCTTCCATAAGGATCTTCAATTCGGTTAACGAAAAAAAATTTGGTTAACGAAGTTCTTACGAACCGACCTCAACATGTTTTCGCTTGCACTGACCGGGCAACCAGCTTTAGTATCAGTCCGCCAATACATTAATCGGTTCTAGGGCTTAAATTCCTTACTATTTTAGTAAATATCAAGAAGTTTATACTATTCAATAATTTTAAAAGTTTAATATTCAATTTTTTAGTCATTTTAACAATTATTGAACATAATTGAAGGTAGAGTGACTAGTTTAATGCGCGGCATCCAGCCTCTTAATACAGCAAACAGGCATTAGTCTCTCTCTGTTTTCACTGGAGGTAACATCTTGCTTGAGACTCTCTTCAACTAAACACTTTTTTTCTGTGTTCAAGCAAATTATTGGTCATTTTGAAATATATTTTACATATTGACAATATATAATGCAGTGCAGTGTTGATTTAAAGAAAATAATCTTGAATTACACCAAGAGAGCTAAAATTTTATGGGTGAAATGGCGCCATGGGGTGACTTCTCTTCCACCCCAATGCCTTCTCTTCTTCCTTCTCCACCCCCATTCTAAATTCCATCATCATCATCATCATCATCATCATCATCATCATCATCATCATCATCCAGGAGCCTTCTACATACACACCTCAAAGTAAGTGAACTTTTCTACCATTTTTGTTGAATTTAGGAAATTTTCGGTGAGCTGGAACCAATTACCCAAAAACCCATTGAAACAATGGTTTCGGTTAACGAACGACCTTCTGGAACGGATTGAGTTCGTTAACGGAGGGGTCACTGTATATTTTAATCAATGTTTCTGAATTTGTTTTTATTGAATTAATGTGTGTGTGTGCAAAATTAACAATACACTTTATTAATAATACGTGGCATATTAAAACACACGATGAGACGAGACGGCTGCCGTCATTGTTTATGTTAAAGCTTACAAAACCAGTGACTCATTGGTTCTACATATAAAACTGAAGAAAATAAGACTGATTGTAGCTGGAGTAAAATTAATGTAAAAAATTTAATATGGTTGTTTGAAGTGCCTGTAATGTTATTTAATGTTAATAAATGGAACAATTTAAGTAGCTAACCATTAATGGTAAAAAAAAAAGTGAGACTGCTCGTATGTAAGTGCGCACTTGTGAAAACATATCGTCATTACTCTACATAAGAATATGAAAGCAACACTTATTTACTGCTCATATATATTGAAGGGTTAAATGTTGTACTCTGTATAGACAAGCAGAGAGAGAGAGAGAGAGAGAGAGAGAGAGAGAGAGAGAGAGCAGCCGAACTGCCGGATGGAAACAAACCTTAATTTCCCTCGGCTTTGTTGTTGTTGTTTTTTTATGAGGATTAGCCCACCCGGGCATAGGTCACTGACCCACATTGGGGCCTGAGGGGCAAAAATTTAATACTCCTGTAATAATAATAATAATAATTCAGATAAGTAAAAAAAAAAAAAAAAAAACTGCCTATCTACCTATTGGACAAACTAAAATCGTTCCGGACCACAGAATGCCGGACTACAGAGGCACAACCTGTACTACATTTGCCTGTTTCCACAAGTCTGGCACAACTCCCGTGTCTAATGATTTTGTAAATAAATTTACGAGGGGTCCGCTAACCTGTTCCCTACACTCTTTCAAGACTCGAGGGAAAATTTCATCCGGCCCAGGGGATTTTGTCTTCTTTAGTGTATTTATCCTCTTAAGAACATCCTCTTTTCTGAGAGTGATATTCTTTAATTTCTCTTCTTCCTTTCCCCTGAATATCAGTTCCACCTCTGGAATTTCCTCGTAAATTTCTTCTGTGAAAACTGATAAGAAGTAGCTGTTCACTGCTTTGCTTATTTCTTCACTGCCATTTATCACTTCTCCCCTCCCTGACTTTAAAGGCCCAACTTTGTCCTTGACTTTTGTTCTATATACCTGGAAAAATCCCTTGGGATTCACCTTGGATTCTCTTGCTATTTTGATTTCATAGTCTCTCTTTGCTTTCCTTACATTTTTCTTAACATTCCTAGATAGTTCATTATACCTATTTCTGAGCTGCTCCTCCCCTCCCTTTAATTTCTTATATATTCCTTTCTTTATTCCTATGTCATGTTTAAGTTTTCTGGTCATCCACCTTGGCTCATTCTTATTTATACACAGTACAGTACAGTTTAGGGTACAGTACCAAGCTAATACAGTTATCTATACAGACACAGTACAGTATAGGGTACAGTACCTAGCTAATACATTTATCTATACAGACACAGTACAGTACACAGTACCAAGCTAATACAGTTATTTATACAGACACAGTACAGTACAGTATAGGGGGTACAGTACCTAGCTAATACAGTTATCTATACAGACACAGTACAGTACCTATACTGTACTGTACTGTGTCTGTATAGATAACTGTATTAGCTTGGTACTGTACCCCCTATACTGTACTGTACTGTGTCTGTATAGATAACTGTATTAGCTAGGTTCTGTACTGTACTGTAAAGGTCTGCTTGATTTTTCTTTTATAGTATAATCTCTAGGTGATTACAAGGACTTTGTATTCATTTCTTTACTCTATAATATTACAGGATGTAGATGAAAGCCTGGGGGAGAGACTGTGGGGTTTAACAGAGATGTTTCCAGACCGTCTTCGTACAACCAGTGTTAATGCTGTGTCCTCCTCTGTAAGCTTCATGAAAAGTAAGTATTCTTGGAGTATGGTACAGTACTGTAGTAGATTGTCTAATATTCTGTGTTTTATGGTGTACTGTACAGGTCATTTGAAAAGTAACCTCTGCAATATCTTTGTAAAAATACTCACTGGCTCAGTCTGCCTGTTCAAGAGACAGTGGCATGGCCCTTCTGAAAAAAATTTGGGGAAATAATTTGTTACCCGAGATTATGGGTGAGGACTAATTCTGTAAGTTAACCGAAATAGGTTACAGCCCAGACCATTGAGGAAGATATAATGCAATTGTTGAAGACATGTGGGAGTCTAGTTCATGGTTGAGGTAGCACAGTACTGACGAAATGTGTCTGTCACACTTGGTGTATCTATCTGTAACACACTTGATGAATACAGTACAGTACTTTACTGTGGTTTCCCCAGTCACACATCTGACCAGCATGTTGGTTTGTGTGTCTGCTGATGCTAAAGACTATGGAACCATTGTCAATTACTTTATTATTACGTTTATTCTCTTCACATGGTGTCCATTCTCCTTTATTATACCAGGAGCACAAGGCTCTTTTCTCCATCTTTAGTGTTGTGTTATATAAGGAAGTGATAGCAGACGAACCCTTTGTAGTCGGGAGGCACCAATAGATGCAATGACAAGCTACAACTATGTTGACCTCAAGCTGTAGCACAAAGACAAATTTACAAGTACTGTACTGTATTTGTAATAAGCACTGCACTGTGAACTGATAGGCATCGCCCTCCCTGATCCATCAGTGACTATAGATAACCTCTAGTGTTGTTACACTAGTAATCTATGGTAAAAGATGATAGACAAATATATTACAGATTGCACTGATTAGGTGATTGACTCTCCCATCATTGAGGAATAGTACAAAGTGTACTTCTAGTACTGGCATGTGCACCATCTGTTGGTAAATAAAGGTAATAATTTTGGTTGTTTAGACTCAAACCTTGAAGCTTCACTGTAAATGATGGGGAATTTTACCAGAGTTCTTCATGATGGGTTTTGGAACAACACTAGGTGGGTAGGTGGGAGTAACATGACTCTTTCTTTCATTGTACATCAAGACAATGCTGACTGTATAGTAAATTAAATACCCAGTGTAATTGCCAAGTGGATAGTTTGAGAGAGGAAGTGAACTAACAGAAGAAATTTGTAATGGGCGATCCGAATGGACGGCTATAAGACAGGAGAAACAGTAATGGTTGGAATTCTAGGAGCATATTAGACAGTCAATGGAGGAAAACTAACATACAGTTGCCTACAGGTATACAGTAGTGTTCCATCCTTGTGTGGTCTTACTGAACATGTGGCCAACAATATATTTTTTGGGGGTATTATTTGTACCTTAGATTTGTGCTAAGTGATATGATAGATGTAATATCTGTAATGAAAGTCAACTATGATTCCAACGTTGCCACATGCTTGGGCAACTGTATATAAATTGGTAAGAAATATTATTTACAGAACCCTGTGATTTTTAATTCAGGTACCTATGAACTGACAAGACAAGTTGTATGGATAGCAGTGAGTACCTCGGTTATCCTGTTTGCTCCTGTCATGTTTGAGCTAGAACGGCTCAACGTGGAGGAGATGATGAAGCAAGATCGGAATAGGGTGAGTAATGCTGTACTGTATTGTGCTCGCTTCTGTATAGACCGTGTGTGCTTCAGAGTGGCCAAATTATCTGTTTACCCTGAACCTTTTCCTCAAGACTACAACAGTATACTGTAATGGTCCTTGGAACATTCATAGATTTTACTAAATGATGATGATAATTAAATGAAATTCTTTGGCAGATTTGTTTTGCATTCTGTGAAGTTTTCTAAACTCTCCCACCATTTCAAGCATGTACTGTGAGTACAGTATATTAGAGTATAGGTCGAGTCTTTATTATCAAATTTTTATGCAAAATAGATCATCTCCCACCAATCACATCATTCTGCCAAATTCTATAATAGGCCTCACCATTTCCTCTAAAATGCCATGGAAGCCACACATCCACAACATTGCTAAAGCTGCCTCCTGAAAGCTGGGAATGCTGTGCAGATGCTGTAGCTTCTTTACTCCTGAGCAGTTGCTTCAAGTTTATAAGGGATTCATTTGTCCTAACTTGGAGTACTGCTCTCATATCTGTGATGGTTCTTCTGTCCAACTGTTAGATAGAGTGAATCAAAGGCATTTCGTCTTGTTAACTCTCCTCCTCTAGTTGACAATCTCTTCCATTTTTCTTCACCGCAATTTTGCTTCACTCTCTCTCTTTTACAGGTAATTTAACGGGCAATGTTCGGTGGATTTGGCATCCTGTGTACCGCCAGCAAGGCCGTGGGCTCGTAACACACGTCTTGCCCTCGGTGCCCACAGTTTCTCTGTGGACGTTGGTCACGCTAGAATAACCCGTTATAGTACCTCCTTCTTTCCTCACACAGCCAAACTGTGGAATGCTCTGCCTTCTTCTGTGTTTCCATACTCATACATCTTCGTGTTGTTGATTAATATAGTCTGTTCCTCTTCTATTTTTAATTTCATTTTACTCTTATTTTTTTGTCCCCCAGGCCCTGTTGTGGATCAATAACCTGTGCCTGGATGGGCTATTCCCTGTAAAAGGGGGGGTTGAACTATATATTTACTGTACTGTGTGCATAATATAGTGATATCCCCATTAGCCGGAACAATTGATGCAGAGCACTTCCGGGGATCAGAGATTTCCGACAAACCGGACGACTTTCTCAAACCTGGAAAAATTCCTTATTCCCGGAATATTTTCCGGTTACTGGGAAAAGTATCCGAGTGTCTAAACTAGACCTCTTGCACACACAGACACTAGCCCACTTCCCCAGAATGTTTCTGGGTGCTGGGGAAGTATTCCTTGCGTCTAAACTACCGGAGTCCGTAAATGCAGTTCTAATTAAGTTAGAAACTCCATTTCTTTACTATAACAATCCAGAATAGTTTATCTAAAAGTTTGGTAAAATAAATATATTTGAAAATTTAAAATCTATATGATGTGGGCATGACTGAAGCTGTGTTACAGCAGACTGGTACTTTCCACTCCCATGGAGCTGTGGGGGATTAGTGGGCCTCATGACCTGAAGATGTCTTGAATAAACACAAAACCTAAAGTATTTTTAGAGAGATTGTGATAAGTATGAGTGTAAATGGAGTGAGAAAGGTGTGGGTGATGAGAGATGGAGTGGAAAGGAGTGTTGCCAAGCGCTCCTCAACAGCTGATATTTAACTCAGTCTCACACACACACAAACTTGTCACACAATAAGACCCTCGCTCCTTATGTCTGCTGTCTTAAATCCCTTGTTAGGTAGGTGTGTGTGTGTGTGTGTGTGTGAGTGAGATAATTAACGGTTTATTGAAAGAGCTTGGCAGCCAGAAGGCTGAAAATATACAGTTACATATTTGGGGAATGGGTTTCGAATTACAAATAATATACAAGTAACATAAGTGATACAAATAAGATATATAATAACTAGATGGGGAAAGGCTCAAACTACAGTGCATTTGAACATAGTGACATAGCGATCAGTTCGTGCATGTATGGGCTGGATGCGGTTGTGGTGTCGAACAGCAATTCTTGGGCTAGGGATCTCAGGTGGTAGTAGGAGCCGGTGTCGAGGATGGTGTAGAAGCTCCTTACCAAATTTGCAGATGAGGTCGTGGTGATGGTCAGTGAGAGTCGAGAGGGTCAGTGTGTTGAGCGCTTCTTGATATGTGGAGTAGGAAGGGGAGAGAATAATCTTGCATGCCCTCTTTTGCACTTTTTCTAGGTGTTTACGTTGTGTGGCATTTAGGGGGGAAGACCAGGTGGGGGAGGCATAAGTGAGCTTGGGAAGTATGAATGTTGTGTAAACACTGGGGAGCTCGGGTGCAGGAACTCCGAGGGACTTGAGTCGGCGGAGGAGGTGGAGACAGAAACTGGAGGATTTGACAACTTCACTGACGTGTGGTTTCCAATTTAGTTTGTTGTCTATGGTGACGCCGAGGAGCTTCGTGGAGTCTACAACCTGGAGTGTGTTTGGACCTAGAGTAATGGAAGATGGTGGGACAATGTCGGAGGAGAGGTTGATGTGCATAACCATGGTCTTGGTATGGTTGATGGTGACATGGTTGTTGGTGACCCAGTTTTGGAGACTGTTCAATAAATCCTGAAGGGCGGTATAGTTGGGAGCAGAATTGTTGACGCTGATCCCAATGGTGGAGTCGTCGACATATTTCCAGCGAGCAGGGGTTTCTCTTAGGGCATCATTGATGAGCATAAGGAAGCAGAGTGGTCCCATCTTGGTGCCTTGGGGGACGCCACAGGTGAGTGACTGAAAGGTGGAGACAGCCCCTCGGAAGCGTACAGCTTGGCGTCAGTCACTGAGGAAGTCTGTAAGCCATGGTATAAGACTTCTCCGAAGCCTGAGGTCAATAGCTTTGTTGATGATTATATTGTGGTCGACTAGGTCGAATGCTTTAGCGAAATCAATGAAGGCGACAGCTACAGACGTTTTTCGTTTCTCGAGATGGCGGTATATGTAATCGAGAAAGCTGACAAGACAGTGAGTGGTGGAGGAAGTTTTCATGTTGCCAAATTGCTGAGGGTCTACGACTCCTGCAATATCAGCATAAGCCCAGTCGAACACAAAACCTTCACAGATTAGGCTGGGTATTGGGGTGATTGCAATAGGTCGTAGCTGATTTAAGGATTGTGGGCTGGTTGACTTGGGCACTGGTGATACATAAGAGGTCTTCCAGTCAGCTGGGCATCTGGCTTGACTGAGAGAAGCATTGATGATGGAGCATAGGGGTTTAGCAAGCTCCGGGGAGAACTCCTTGAAGAGTTTCATTGGTAAGTCAATGGGGGTGGTAGAGCGTTTTAATTTTAGTTTGTCCAGGCGTTTTGCTACTTCAAATTCTTCTACTAAGTCAGTGGGAAGGGGGGCTGGTAGGTAAGCAGGGAGAGTGGTTGTGTCAAGCCGGGGGAGCGTCTGGCATATAGTAGCGAAATGGTTATTTGTTTGCTCAGCTGCGTCAACATTAGTGAGATGGCTAAGGAAGGGGAGGGGGTGTGTCTTATTGTTTAGTCCACAGAGTTCTTTAAGCTTACCATACCATTGACTGATGTTGGTCTGCTTCAGGTGTTGTAATTTGGTTGGGTAGTGGGACTTCTTTGCAGTGCGTATTTCGCGGATGACTCGGTTGCGAAGGGACCTGTAGCGGATGTGGTCATTGAGGTGAAAGGCTCTGTCTCTCTGTTGCATAAGTCTTTTGATCCGAGGTGTGATCCAGGGCAAGTCAGCTGGGTGAGATCTGACGGACTTCTCGGGGAAGAAGTGGTGGTGAGCTTCCGTGGTGGTGTTGGTATAATTTATCCATTTGGTTTCCACGTCATCCATGCTAAGTACTTCAGTCCAGGGATGGTGAACTATCCACTGCCCGAAGAGGCTCACTGCAGAGTCAGTAATCGGCCTGTAGGTCTTGATGTAGGGTCTCTGTACTTGAGTGGGAGTGGCAGCTGGGGACCAGAGCACTGATAAGTGCGTGCTACACCCGATAGGAGGCATTGGTTGAGGTGGTTGGTACTGGTCCGCTAAGTCAGTTAAGATAAGGTCGAGGGTATTTTGACCGTGTGTGGGGAAGGTCACAACTTGTGATAGTGATAGCTGGTCCTGGATATCAGTGGTGTCAATTTCATTAAAGTCCCCACATAATACTAACTTGGCACATGGGTACCTAACTCTGAGGTGGTAATGAGATGATTGATAAGAGTGTCTCTGGTGGGTGAGCGAGGCGGATGGTATGCCACACAGATTATGATGGAAGCAGTGTGGCGCGGGTGGGCTGGTGGCACAACACGTACCCATAATGCTTCCACGTCTGCTGGGACTTGAACATCCAGGCGTGACGGGCGTAGGTCATCTTGACAGAAGAGGGCAACGCCCCCTCCGCGTCTATGTGAACGAAGGTGATGAAAGAGTTGATATCCCTCAATATGACACGTTTCAGGCACAATTTGCCAAGCCTCACATATGGCAACGACGCTCGCGGCGGCTGACCTGACTAGTTGCCAGCTCGTCGAACTTATTAGCTAGGGAAGTGACACTGGATAGCAATAGAGACGGGAGATCATACCATATCCGTGGAACTTCAGTGTAGTGGTACGGTCTGTCGGGGTGGGTTTCTCCGGTTTCCTAGTGGAGGTTACGGTTCTAATGGGCTTATGTGTATGACGGCCTTGTCTACGGCTACGCGCGTGGAATATGTTCAGTGACTTGAGTCGCGCGATAACACTGCCATCAGGATTACCGTTCCCACTCTTTAGATGGTACAGAGTGCGTCGGGAGTAAGTGATTGGTGGCCATCTGTTGATATCTGTTGTGGGCGGACGGAAGTGTTTGTCACTGACGGCACTTTGAGGGCCACTGACACTGGTAGACATCTGTTAATATTTGTCAGTCGTAAAGACTGTGGGTCTTTGTTCCTGGTGCTTGGGGTCGCCGACACAGTTTTCACGATACAGTGGGGTATGCTATAACGAATCTAATTGGTTCTAGAACCTTGTTCGTTATAGCATTCGTTCGTTATAGGATTAATCCGTTCCAGGCCTCCAAATACAACCACTTAACACTGAAAAATGTAATATAAAATTGTAAAAATTGTAAAAAAGTGCATAAATATGCATCTAAACCCCTGAAATAAAAAATATCATTAATATTTGTAATAAAAAAACAATAAATTAGTAAAAAAAAAAAAAAAAATTTTTTTTTAAATAATGTTCGTTGTAGGAGTTTCGTTCGTTATAGCATTCTCAATTTTATAGGTAAAACCGTTCGTTATAGGAATATTCGTTGTAGGATCCGTTCGTTATAGCATACCCCACTGTATATGTAAACACCGCGGTGGTCCTTGTCACTGGCACTTTAAAGGTGACCGATAAAGTGCCCACTGTCTGACTTTTCCTTGGGGTGCACTATCGGAGCACTGTATGATAATCACTTATTGCACTGATGACTTGAATGTTTTGCTGAGAAAGTCCCGGTCAGGTTAGGTCGGGTCCAGTCACACTGCTGTGCTTTTGTGCTTTTCCTTAAAGCACTATAGGAACACTGCTCGGTAATCAATCGTTCACTAATCACTAGAATGTTTTACTGAATAGATCCCGATGTAGTAAGGCTGGTAGGGCGTTGGGATATAGCAGGGGGAGTGGTAGGGCCAAACAGACTCGGCCTGGCTGCTAAAACCGGGAGCGCCTTCGGGGCACGTCTTGTCTTACTGACGGTTGACAAGTGTCTGTGTGTGTGCGTGCGTGTGCGCGCACACAGTAATACCTCGCTTTACGCGGTCAATGGAACCCACGGAGGCCCGCGTAAAGTGAACAACAGAACATATGGGATTAATTGAAATAGAGACCGGGTCGACCCCCAAACTCCACTTTTTCCGACACAATACCTATGTTGTAGTAAAAATAACATCTTAATTTTATGATGGTATGCACACACAATTAATATTTAAGAGAAACACAGTCGCCAGGTTAATGTCCATTCCAATAATGAACTCAACTCTCTTCCCAACTCACTGGCTCCTACCTCTCTGAGAAATGTTTGGGTGAAAACACTAGATTTTAAGGTATAGTAATAAATAATACCTCAGACAAAAGTTAGGATAATATAATTGACATTGCTGGATTCCTTGCAAGACCAGGAATATTATGAATATACACGTCATATATTTTGCACAAAAGATAACATATTTGCTCTGTGTAAACAAAATTCTTACATTAGATCTAAAATTTGTATGTCTAATGCAAAATCCATGATGTTTATATTCAAAATGATCATCATATTGTAAGAATTCCAGCAATGTAAATTATATTCTGGCCAGGTAATTTGTATGAATTTTATGAGCTAAAACAAATATCTTCAGTAAATAAACAAAAATTATTCTTCACCAACACTATCTGTCAATCAAAATACCCCACCTCCGCCCTGGCTGGGTCCGTCCCTCCCTCCCTCCCTCCCTACCTACCTACCCCCCTCCCTCCCTACCCCCCACCCCCCACCTTCCCTCCCTACCAGAGAAATGTTTGGGAGAAAACAGTATATTTACATTTTTAGTAATAAATAATAACTCGGACTAAAGATAGGATAATATAATTGACATTTCTGGATTCCTTGAATGTAAACTTCATATATTTTGCACAAAAGATAAAATATTTGCTTTGTGTAAACCAAATTATTACATTAGATCTAAAATTTTTATGTCTAATGCAAAATCCATGATGTTTATATTCAAAATAATCACCATATTGTAAGAATTCCAGCAATGTAAATTATATTCTGGCTGGGTAATTTGTATGAATCTTATGAGCTAAATAAAAAATTTTACTTCACCCGTTTATATGAGTAGATGCACCGAGGAATAGTAAAATGAAATTCCGGTTCTGGCTAGGTACCGCGTAAATGTAGAATCGCGTAAAGTGAAACCGCGGGTATTACTGTATAATGTTACTATACAGGGTGTATATGATTTCCCACTTGATTCCAGTATATATTGTATTTACACGCACAAAACCATATGTTTTCCCATACAAAACCACTTTAAAATCACTTTCGTTAATTGTATGACGACCTACTAAAAAAAAATTTCCACAAAATATCCTTGTAAAATAGGGATGCGTCTTATATGCCGGCAAATACGGTACCTGATATATGAAGGAGGCGCGTATCAGAAGTGAGCTCGCCCCTCAGTGCACACATCTTAAATACTCAGGCATGCCACAACAAGAACTTACGTACACATTCATTGGTCTCCATTACATTACTCATCGCGCTGTGAAAATCGGGCTATGGGTTTACATCAAGTCCTTAAGGTTAATGCTTATAAAGTAATCAGTGTGAGCTTGCAGTACATCATTTAAATTGAAGACAAATACGTAGGATGGCAATCACACTCTGTGGTGAGCCACAACATAGGCCTACTCATAAATATGGTGTTACTGAAACTTTTGACAGGTTGTGTTCTCAAGATTAACGAGTTTCTTAAATACAAAACTGACAGTAATTTCAATATAGTCATCAGATTCTCTGAGGTCTGTAACTTGCAGAGATATAACTTAATTTTGAATTGATATCTCTTGCCATCACTGGAGCAAGATCAGTGTTCACAGCTGTGCAGTCAAACACATCGTCTTTATACAATTTAAGCTGCACGTAAAGATCGTTGAAGCTTTCAACATATACTCGATACATCTTGAATGCCTCGGCTGACGGTAGGCATACATCACTTACAGCTACTCATACAGGTTACATCGTAAATTTAAATCTACACTACAGAAAGCACTTAAGGCAAACATAGAAAATAGACAGTGCCTCTCACTAGAGAAAACAAGTCTCTCGATGGGGTAACTCACTCATTTCCCACTTTTTGTGGACGGCAGAGTATAATATGAATAAGTATGGGTATTAACTTACTAGATGTGCAACTGTGACTGTTACTTTTGATACAGTATATCCAGCTATAGGTCCGGTATTGGGTTTATCATAAAAATGGCTTTAATGGACCAGCCTTTCCCTTGATGTGCCTTATATAGTGTGGTACAGTCTCACCCAAAAGTTGGTTAACTCTCCCAGCCAGCTATTGCTGCATTACATGCTTCAGATGTATGAACTTGAGTCTGTTACTTCAAACCTTTAGATTCATTTGTATTGGTTTCATGTTGTGGTTGGTACTGAGACAGTTTCAAACATCTGCAGCAGGCAGTGCAGCAATAGCTGGCTGGGAGAGTTAACCAACTTTCGGGTGAGACTACATTATCACTGAATTGGTAAAATGGGCTGTAATAGTCTGTATTATATCATGATTTTGGGTGTAATGGATGACGTAATATTTGCTGATCATACAACCCTGGTGGGCAATTGAGGAGGGAAGTAACTGATAGTAATGAAAGGAATTGTTAGACTGGGTGCTAGAAAACAGTTAATTATGTATGTTAACAAAAGTAAAGCGACGAACATTTGTGAGAAGAGTGATGGGGAGAAATGAGATGTTCAAGGTCTGTGCGAGGACATGTGTCTGCAAGAGAGGAATGTTTGGTGATGAACTGAATGATAAAATAGCAGAGGGAAAGAAATGTAAAGGCAGGGAGAACTGTGTCAAAGGAAGCAAATTTGGGGATGTACAATGTAGAGAAATTGTTTGCTAAAATTACCAAATGGGAGAGAGGTGTGAACTCTCTTGGTTCCTGCCACCCTGCTGCAATGTTTACAAGAATGGAAAAGAAATAGGATAAGATATGTAAAAGGAATCCTGGGGATATTACTATGCTATAACGAATGAAACTCCTACAACGAACATTATTTAATTTTTTATTTTTTTTTTTTTTTTTACTAATTTATTGTTTTTTTATTACAAGTATTAATGATATTCTTTATCTCAGGGGTTTAGATGCATATTTATACACTTTTTTACAATTTTATATTATATTTTTCAGTGTTAAGTGGTTGTATTTGGGGGCCTGGAACGGATTAATCCTATAACGAACGAATGCTATAACAAACAAGGTTCTAGAACCAATTAGATTCGTTATAGCATACCCCACTGTATTTAACAAACATAATTAATGTCCAGTTTTTGAAGTAATAACACATATTATATACATTCCAAGAAGGCATTAATTTTATGCTTATATGTGGGCATTATCTCACCTATTTCATTGTTTTCTTTCTTTCCAGCTTGTATTGGGTCCTGGATCAGCCATGTCCGGGCCTCCTGTTGCTCCCGGTCTTATGCCTCCTCCTCCAACACGATAATCATCTTGCTTGTTTACCTCGAGCTCCACCGGTTTCATCTCTTTTTTAATTATTGTACAATATATCTGCAAAGATATCCATAGTTGTTACTTTTTATCAAGTAACTTCGTATGGCTGTTTAAGTATGATTAACTTGTGTGAAATAATGGAGAAAATATACAGTTTGACTGTTTCATTCCTGACCTGACCGTAGGCAACATTAAGATGTGAAAGGTGCTCAGGGTTATTGCATGTCATTTTATGCATTGATAGTGAAATAGTTTGGGGGTAAAAAAAATGTGCATATGGATTTAAAAAATTTTTTTTATAATTATTTAATATTTTCTGGTTTATTGAGTAAGTGGAAAATACAGTACTCATACTTTGTTCATAGATGAAATTGTATTTAGATGTATGACTGTAATAACACTGGGATGGTTCTCAGAGAGTGTAAGTAGATCACCTACAGTCATATCAGTTGTGTACATACAGTACTGGATGAACTACTACACTGTACAATGCAGTGGCGTGTACTATATTCTTAAGAAGCAAGGTGAGCATTGCTTTCCTTATAAAAATTCTTCTCTTCAAATTTAAAATACATTATCTCTTTGTTTAGTTAAAGTATTATTTATTTGTGTATAGCATTCTTCATTTAAGTCTCATTGAATTTAAACCTGCTGTAATAGGAGTCCAGAATTGAGAAACTTGCAAGACAGGAGCGTTTGCCACTTGAAAATCAGTCCCTCAAATACGCAACATTCAATTTGCAGTAGCCTCTTACAGGGTAAAATGGTATGCCACTACCAGACATAAGATGAAAACTATTAATTCAAATTATATTAATCCTTTTTTTTTTCTCTCCTTCAAAATCCATGTAAATAAGATACAGATCAATTCTAATATGCTGTGAAAAGCATTCTGATGCTGGAATTTCCCCTCAATAAATATTTGTAGTTATCAAAGTAGAATTTCTTTTCTTAGAGATTTGGGCAACAGAAGCACAGCAAACTCCTGGTTGTCCCTCCCCTACAACTACCACCTACATCATTGTACCAGATCAATCATAAATTCATAACTGCAGATATATAAGTAAGATTTTGTTTTTATAATTAAAATTCTTTTAGAATAATATAGATACTGTATTTCATTTTACCAATGTGATAACCCGTGCAAAATAATTTACTTCTTGGTGGAATAAATCCGAATTAAGGCATAATGTACCGAATGTTGCTAATTGTCTAACAAGAACTTTATTCAAATGCCTCATTAGTGTCATAAATAAAGGCTAAAGATGAACAAAAAATAACTAGTAACTACTTCACCTTGATATGTTTCACAGTTTACTAGACTCCTAGTACTTGGTAGTATAATGTCATTAACAGTGTCATCTCCTTGCCCTAACATTTTTTCCACAACACGCCACTGATACAAGTACTGTAGTAAATGTTCAGGTTAATTGAGCTGAATGTGCAGTTATGATAATGTGTACATATGTGAATATGGCTAAAGCTATTTTAAGTTGTTAATGAATTAAAAGATACTACTTGTTTTGTAACTGTCAGTACGTAATGAGCATTAAAGTATGTAGATATTGTAATCTCTGGTTTGTTTGTGCAGTACAGTACTGTACAGTCATCAGTGTGAAGTAGATGATTGTGATCTTATGCTGGTTCATCAAGTCTGGCCACAAAGCAGCTAAACAAATTTTGGCTAGTGTGTAACATAGGTGTATACAGAGCTACTGTACTCATTTTGTATTGTTGTTTATTATGGTTGAAAATATATGAACAGTTATGTTGTCAATTGTTCTACCATTGACCAACTAGTCTGTCTTTTAAAAATAGAAAATTTTTTTAAACCTTTTGTTTTCACAACCTGTGGTTCCAGTTTCAGAAGAGAAAAGTTTACAGTTCCATAAAAAATCACCTGTCTAATTAATTTATATAAGTTTTGTGTCTGATATTTATGAAACATTTTCATAAAAACAATAATGAAAGTTATTGACACGGTGTCTCCTGTATAAAAAGCTTAAAATGCTGCTTTGAGTGAACCAGTTGTTCATGGTATAAACTTAATTTCTTACCTGGTGCAGGTTTAGGGTGACTGTTTATAATCAACTACTGTTGTCTATGGAGTGAAAACAAGTTCTCAGAGACCCAAAATTATGATAAATACCCAAAAATTTAATGAATATGAAAATTAGTGTCCATCTTCACACTGGATTCCAATGAAACAGTCACTTGGTATGAAGTCACATTGTTAAGAGAGAAGGTTAAATCTTTTTCTGCCTGGTTGTATAGATGTGCTCCTCATTTCTTTGCTGTTAGCCTCTTGGAAAACCCAAGCAACTGGACCATCACCTCAGTTTCCAGTCACATAAGCTACTGTCCTGTTTTTTCAAGTTTGAGATAAACACTGTAAGAATGTGAATAGTTAATCCCTTCACTGTGGGATGTTACTTTTAATATTTTATTTCTCATTTTTTATTCTTCACCCTTGTTTTTTTTTTTTTTTCTTCTTCACTATCTTAGGGTGATATTTGCTTATCTAAATGTTCGTTTGATGGAAAATTCAAATCGCATAGCAGGCGTGGACTGGGAGTTGGCTTAGATGGCCATTTTAGCCCCCAAGTGTGTAAGGTACAGTACAGTCACAATCCAAAGTTTCAACACCCCGCCTGGCTGGGTGTGAGCCGAGGCCAGGGTTGAGGTAAGGCTGGGTGATCGGACGCAGACATTCCACCACCACAACACTCCGAGACTCATAGCACACGAGCACAGGAAGGAACTTATTACCAACTCTGACATGGCATGAACTTGCATAACAAATGCATTCATAACATTGTTGCCACACATAACAATAACATGTTAAGATTGGAGCATGAAAAACTTTGCCCGGTCCCAAAACACTGACTTGGAACCACTAGATGCGAGTACTCGTATTACACATGAATCATCGGGGCAGCATATATAAAGGCTGGCCAGCGGCCGAATTTCATCAAGAGGGAGTGAGCGGTCAGTCGACAAGGTGAGGCCTATACATGTATAAATATTACCATAACCCTGGGAATATTATGGTTTCACACATACTAGGAATTCATATAGTCATGTTTACAATATTTACTGGTGCCAGTAACTACAGTACATTGGTTCCAAGTCCGATCACCCAGCCTTACCTCAACCCTGGCCTCGGCTCACACCCAGCCAGGGGGATGTAGAAACTTTGGATTGTGACTGTACTGTACCAACTGTAGATATGTATTTTATTTAGTTTATCATATACTGTACTCACATCATGCCTTCTTTGTCAGTGCTTACGCCCCAACACTGGATGCAGAGGATGACATCAAGGAAGCCTTTTATGCCGTCCTTGACAGAGTGCTAACCTCTTTCCCAAGAGAAGATAAAGTTGTGCTTCTAGGTAACTTAAATGCCAGAGTTGCCAGACTAGGCAAGTGTAATCCTAACGGCCTATTCCTCCTCAACAAGTGTGCTGCACACAACCTCACTATCACCAACACCTTGTTTAGACAGGCCAACGATCCAAACACTGGCATCTCATTAACTATATCATTCTCAGAGAAAGAGATCGCCAAGATGTCCTCATCACCGAGCCAGGCGTGGCTCAGACCACTGTGACACAGATCATTGACTAGTCAGAGCCAAACTCTCCCATCGGCTCGCCCCAAAATGACGAAAGCAATAATCCTCCAGAAATGGTTTTATTTAACACCAAGTGATAGAAAAATGCTTTCAGAGAGCAGCTCGATGATGGGCTGACAAACAACAAGCAACCTATTTCTGAGTGGCAAATGGAGTATCCTCAACTCAGTCATCACAAAAACCTGCAGCGAGACCCTTGGCCTGATCGAAAGAAAACACCAGGATTGGTCTGATGATAACCAGGTAATCAACACCCTTGTCACTGGTAGATGTGCTGTTCTCACTGACTGGCAGAACAACCCTCAGTCTCAGACTGATATCTTTTGCCAGAAGAAAATGGTGGCCCAGAGCAAATTTTACAATCTAAAGAACGAATGTTGGAAAATAAAGCGTGTTAAATGCAAAAATTTGTGGATCAATAAAAGATGTGTGAATTTTTAAATTCCACTAACAATGTATGGCCCCCTCCACTCATCTATGGCCACTTTTTAATTAAAGATGAAGAAGGCATCTGTCAGTGCTGGAGAAAGCACTATCATTTGCTGCTCAACTGAAACACCAATGTGAATGTCTTAACTCTCCAGCAGGTCCTTCACCTATCCGCCATCCCGTGATGAGGTTGCTACTGCCACCAAGCAAATGAAAAATAACAAAGCCACAGGCTTTGATAGAATCCCAGCCAAGGTGTATAAAGCAGGAGGACCTCTGCTTACTAGCCATCTTCACTCTCTTCTGGAGAATATAAAGGGGGAGTAAGAAATCTCCCCAAGCTCTTAAAGATGCCCCCATCCTCAATATTTATAAGAACAAAGGAGACCAGTCAGACTGTGGCAACTACCACAGGATTTTGCTTCTGTCCGTAACTGGCAAGGTTATTGCTCGAGTCTTCCTAAACAAACTTCTTCCTGAGGTGGAAAACTTCCTCCCAGAATCTCAATGTGGCTTTAGACCATCACGTGGCACCAATGACATGAACTTTGCTGCCTGCCAGATACAGGAAAAGTGCAGAGAACAGCGTTGTAACCTTTACATGGCCTTCATTGACCTTACTGAAGCCTTCGTCTCTGTCAACAGGGAAGCCCTCTGGTGGACCCTCAGTCGCTTTGGCTGCCCACCAAAATTCATCACCAGTGTGAAGCAAATCCACGATGGCATGAACGGCAGTGTCCTGCACAATCGCACCAACTATCTCTTCCATTTTCTTGGTTGACTTCCTTATTCATGCCTGTGCCAATTTAGCCGGTGGGGTGGGCATCCAGTTCCAGATGAAGGGACTTTTCTACATAAGAAGACTCCAGGCAGGAACAAATGTATCAGCTGCTTCCATCACTGAACATGTAGATGACCTCACCCTCATCGCTCACACTGAACGTGACCTACAGGAGATCCTGAACACCTATGCACACTTCGGCCTTGAGGTGAATGTACAAAATACTCGGATTTTCTTTCAGCCTGCCCTTGATTCAGCCATACCTCTACCATCCAACCAGGTTAATGGTACTACCCTCTCCAATGTTACCCACTTTCAGTATCTTGGCTCCCACCCGTCCGCCACCACAGACATCGATGAAGAGATTCAAAATCAGATCATATGTGCACCTCAAGCCTTTGGCAGACTCCATACCCATGTCTTCAGCTGTAGGAAGCTGAAATTATCTACAAAGTTGCACGTATATCGAGCAGTGGTCCTCCCCACCCTGCTATATGGCAGTGAGACATGGGTCACATACAGGAGGCACCTCAAGGCACATAAAAACTTTCACCAACGTAGTTTATGTTCCATCCTCTGAGTTCGCTGGGAAGACAAGAAGAAACGGCAGTATTCTCGCTGACACCAACTGTTGGAGAATCGAGGCTATCATCCATGAGCAACTATGTTGGACCGATCATGTTACAGGCATGAACGATAGTGACTGCCAAAACAATTACTTTACAGTCACCTAATGAATAGTAAAAGTAATGCTGACGCAATAGAAAAGGTATAAAGATAGTCTTTCAATCAAACCTGAAGAAGTGCCAAATTGACCCCCTCACCTGGAAGATGATCACTCCACACCGTAACACTTGAAGGAACACCACACTAGAGGGAGAGGGTGTCAATGCTTTTGATGTAGCCCGACTGCATACCGAGACAGGAAAGCTCCAGCACCAGGAAGCACTTGACAGGGTATGGTACAATTCTTTGTTTTCTAAGCTTCCCTCATAGTTTCTATCTCCGACCTTGTTTTCTAATTTCTTGCTTTCTTGAGAACCGGTACATAGTAGTCGTTGTCAAGGAACTGATCTCTCGCTGTAACTGCTCGTTGGAGCGATTGTGGCTGTGCAGGACAATAAGACCCTCTACGTTGACGCGAAGAATACAATTCGGTCAAAGCCTATTGAATGCATCTCTCATGTAACAACTGCTGATACATCAGGACGCAGAGTTTAAACAATATTATTAATGTACAGTACATAACTACAATTATTCAAGTTGTTTAGTGTTCTCAGAGGATTCAACAGCTCTCACTCACGTGTTACTGGTCTATAGGGTAGACCAACGAGAAGAAAGACGATGTCCTACAGGAGAAATGTTGGCTGATGAGAATCAAGATGTTGCCTCTACGGGAGAAGGTAATAGTCTGCCCTGAGGCTGTGTCTCATGGGCAGCTGTGGGCCCGTCGAGGCAACGTGTTTTTCATTTCGGCCGCTTAGTCGGTTATCTTAGTTGTAAACAGTCTCTTCGCTCCATCTCTCTACCTCTTTCTCTGACCCACTCTTATCTTCACTTCTTCCTCTCTCCCTTTTATTCTTTTTATTCTGCCTGTATCTTCACTTACACATGTTGTTGGCGTGCACAAATTGTGCCTGGCGGTAATACTCCCCCAGTCAGGCTTCGCTCGAAATCACAGCCTACCATTAGATTCACTCTCTCTGATCCCTTCCAAAAAGCAGTCTTTCGTCACTGGGCGTATTAACACTGAGTCCTTTGTCTTCACTTTAACACTTCGCACCTGGCCATCTTTTTTTTGCTCGGTATTGCCTCCAGTACTCTTCCTAGCATCCACTGACTCCTGGGGAAAGAGTAGAGATGATTACAATATCTGCAGCAAGTTTTGAAGAATTTTTGTCGCCCTCATAGTGTCGGCAGATATTCCTTCACCCACTTCTTCCAAAACTGGTCCGTGATGAATTGGGCATGCTTTCATCTTCGCCTGTACGCTTCTGTTGAGGACCGATCGCCTCCAGTGGACAGTATCTCCAGGTTCATCCGTATTATGTGAAGCGGCGTTAGTGCTTCTAGATCCTTTGGGTCGTTAGACACTGGGGTGATGGGCCTTCCATCGATGATCTTCTACGGCGCAGGACAAAGTGTTGAGTCATTCATCGTCTAGCGTCTGGGTGTCCACCACTCCCTGGAGGACCTACCTTACAGTGCGGATTTGTCGCTCCCACACTCCGCCCGTATGAGAGGCTGTCGGGAATTGAACTGCCATTCTATTTGTTTCTAGAGGGCATTCCCGACCTTGTCACTGTTGTTCCAGCCACTCACCGCCTCTCGTAACCCTCAGCTAGCTCCAATCATGTCGGTTCCCATGTTAGACCCAATACGCATGGGAGGTCCCCTGCGGCAGGCGAATCTTGTCAGGGCGTTGACGAATAAGTCGGTGTCTAGTGAGGTGAGGACTTCTAGGTGTATGGCTCTGGTGGTCAGGCAGGCGAACAAGCATCCCCATCTCTTCACCCGGGCTCGGCCTTGTTTCACCACAAAAGGGCCGAAGCAATCAATTCTAGTGTAGGTGAACGGCAGGCCTACTGGGCGCACTCAATCTTCTGGCAGGTCGGCTTAGAGTTGGTGGGTAGGCCTCCAGTTGTTCCTCCGACAAGTCACACGCATCTGTATTGTGCGGTCGAGTAATTTGCGGCACTTAGGTATCCAGTATGTCCCACTTATTATGGCAAGAGTGTGTTCTCCTCCTGAGTGTCCAGCTCTAGTCGAGTGTACCTCTCTCACAATGAGCCCCGTGATCCTGTTGTCCCTCGGCAACAGTATGGGATTCTTCTGGTCTGGGTGGAGTGCGGCATGTTTCAGTCGGCCACCTACTCTGAGCAAACCGTCTTGTGTCCAGATGAGGTTCCAGCCGATTCACATCGCTACCTCTCACAGGTTGTCCATGTTGTAACATTCTTAGTTCTCGAGGGAATCCTTTCCTTTGCATAAGTCTTAAGACGACTAACTTCGCATCTTCCAATTCTCTGACCTTGAGCCAATTTTCGAGGTGATGTTTGTTTTTTCGCTTCCCAAGCTGCCATTCTATAAATCTTCTAATCCACGCTACGCTCTTCAGAAGTCGATGCCACGAGGAGTACCTGGCCCATAGCTTATCGAGGATACCCTCCCCCTGGTCAACGTTCGCCGTCAGCACCGTGGTTTCCTTCTTCACCTCTAGGTCTCCGTCTGTGAGGTCTGGAATCCTCATTGGACTCTTTGGCCAAATGTCTTCTTCCAACAAGAGGAAAGCAGGTCCCCGAATCCACCTGCCCTCCTCGTTGAGCTCCGCTCTATGTAGTCCACGACTAGCGTCATCGGCTGGGTTCAGTGCCGAGTTCACGTGGAGCCATTGCTCTGCATTAGAATCCTTGTGTATCGTTGCCACGAAAGAATGGACGCGTCTTTCAGTGTTTCGTGTATACTGAAGGACTGCCATACTGTCTGTCCAGAACACTGATCTGTCTATTTGTAATTCAAGTTCTCGCCGTAGTTGTTTGTCTGCCTTGGCAGCCAGTACTGCCGCACAAAGCTCGAGTCGAGGTATGGTCTGCTGTTTCAGAGGGGCTAGCTTGGCCTTGCCACACACGACGGAGATATGGTGGGTTCCATCTTCACACGCGGTTCTCAGATACGATAAAGCTCCATACGCTTGTTGGGAAGCGTCGCAGAAGTGGTGTAGTTGCACGGCTGCAACTGCATCCTCGGGTGGGTAGCACTGTGGAACGTGTACCCATGATAGGTGAGGAAGTTCATCTAGCCATATTCGCCATGCCACCCTGTTCTGTTCAGCCATTCGTTCATCCCACCCAATACCTCATCTGCACTCATCTTGGAATATGATTTTGGCTCTTATGATGCTCGTAGTGATGACTCCCAGTGGGTCACATATGGAGCTGACCATACTCAGAAGGCCTCTTTTCGTCTCAGGTTTCTTAGGGATCTGGACCCGGACCGCTAGTTCGTCTTTCTCCAGGTCCCACAGGATTCCCAGCACTCGTTCAGTGGGGAGTCTGTCGTCTTTCAAAATTACTTCCTTTACTCCCACGGCTTTTTCTCTCTGTGGAACTGCCTTGAGGACTTTCTTGTGATTACAGACCCAATTCGTAAGTCTGAATCTGCCCTTCTTCATCAGCTGTCTCAGTTGATGGGTAACTATTGTTGCCTTCCCTGGTGAATCTACTGAGAGATGCAGATCGGCAGCGTAGAAGTTACGACTCGCTCTCTTGATGTCGTCATGGAGACTTTCCCCGTAACCTTGGAATGTTCGTTGTAGCGCATTCCCGGCACATGAAGGGCTCCACACACCTCCAAAGGGATATACTGTCATTCGGTATGTGGTGGGGGCCTCGTACCGCTGGTCGTCCGTCCACCATAAGAATCGTAAGACGTTTTGATGTTTGGGTACTACTCGCACTTAGTGGAACACTGCCTCGATATCAGCCATGAGTGCCACCTTTCCTTGTCTGAATATGATGAGGACTCCCATCAATTTGTTGTTAAGGTCTGGCCCTTGCATCACCTGACTGTTCAGTGACACCGAGTCATATTCGGCTGCCCAATCAAAAACTATTCTCGCCTTTTCTGGCTTGTTGGGATTCAACACGAGGTGTTGTGGGAGATACCAGGTCTTCCCGGCTGCAGCACCGAGTTCTCAATGTGGGACTCGTTCAGCATCCCCAGGGTCGGATGAAATTTTCCTTCAAGTTTTGAAAGAGAGTAAAGAACAGATTAGTGGACCCCTCGTAAATTTATTTACAAAATCATCAGACACGGGAGTTGTGCCAGACTTGGGGAAACAGGCAAATGTAGTACCCATGTTCAAAAAGGGAGACAGCATCAGCGTCAAATTACCGGCTGATTAGTTTTACGTCAGTAGTGGGGAAATTTCTTGAATCAATTATAGCAAATAGCATTCGATTGCATTTAGAGAAAAACAAATTAATCTACGACTCAACATGGGTTTACAAAGAGAAAATCTTTTCTAACAAATCTGCTGACGTTTTTTAGGAAAGTCTTCGAGGTAGTAGATAATGACGAAAATTACGATGGTATTTACCTAGACTTTAGCAAAGCGTTTGACAGAGTACCACATAAGAGGCTTCTGAGAAAAGTTAAGGCTCATGGTATCGAGGGGAAGTTTTAAATTGGATAAAATCATGGCTTACAGATAGAACACAGAGGGTCAGCGTAGATGATTTTAAATATGAGTGGGGCTGTGTAACTACTGGGGTTCCCTAGGGGTCAGTACTGGGCCCACTCTTGTTCATAATCTACATAAACGATCTAGATACTGGGATCAGCAGTGACAAGCAAGTTTGCGGATGACACCAAAATAGGATGGCAGAGTAATTCAGGGCAGGATACAAATGCACTGTAGGAGTGGTCAGAAAAATGGCAAATGAAATTCAACACCAGCAAGTGCAGTGTAATTAATATTGGAAGAACAAATACTGTCAATGTATACAGCCTTAAGAACATCAACCTAGAGAAGTCGACTTGTGCAGGAGACTTAGGGGTACTTGTAAGTCCGGACCTACGGCCTAGAAAACAGTGCGTTAATGTTCGAAATAAGGCAAACAGAGTATTAGGTTTTATATCTAGAAGTGTAAGTAATAAGAGTGCAGAGGTCATATTGCAACTATGTCTTGCGCTAGTCAGGCTGCACCTCGATTATGCGGTTCAGTTCTGGTGCCCTTATAGAATGGATATCAATTCACTGGAGTCAGTGCAACGAAGAATGACAAAAATGATTCCCGGACTTAGAAACCTTCCAAATCAAGATAGGTTAAAGAAATTAAACTTGCATTCCCTTAAAGACGAAGAGTGCGGGGAGATATGATAGAAGTATTTAAGTGGGTGAAAGGAATCAATAAAGGGGATATAGATAAAGTTCTTATAATATCCGAGCAGGATAGGATTCGTAGCAACGGATTTAAGTTGGATAAGTTTAGGTTTAGGAGGGAGATAGGAAGGAACTGGTTCACAAATAGGGTGGTGGACGAGTGGAACAAGCTTAGCAACTTTGTAGTAAGTGCTGGAACGCTGGAAAGTGTTAAAGAAGGCTAGATAATTTCATAGATGATAGAGAGTGGTAGTACTGTACTTCTCGACAGGAGCTTGTAGTGGACGTCTCCCCTACAACTGCCTACAACTGCGTAGCCGCAGCCACCAGCTGCTACCATCTTCCCTAGCAACCAAACTAGCGGCCCAGGCGGCGGCGTCACCAGATGCCGCAGTATCTTAGCAACGGAACCAAAGACCGGCGACTTTCTCGGGTTTTCCCAACATGACTCATAGATGACTCACGGCTGCTGGGTATATAAGCTCTGTCTCTCCATTGAGATTCATTCTGGCCTCTTTTCCTGAACAAGCAACACCTCCTCCTCCGCCGCTGCCTGGCGGTCCTCGCTCCCGCCAGCGAGCATGGCGACCCACCAGCTGTCCTTCTCTGAGCTTCCTCACCAACCAGCTCTTATTCTGCTCTCGGTTCCTGAACACGCAACACCTCCTCCCAGCAAGCTCCTCGCTGTCCAGCTTTCATTCAACCAGGAGGCCAGCAACAGGCAACATCTTCTCTAACGAAGCTCCTGCACATCTACCTCCTTCAACACTCTACTCACCGAACGTCTCTTCTGAGCAGCTCCTCACCACACGGCACCTCCAGCACCAGACTGTCTACCATATAACTCATATTATATAAGAAAACCACCTTAGAGTTTTCATCCATCCTGAGTGCTAGACAACATCTTACCACGAAACCCCACAAGCTGCCATGCACAGGCCAACCGGCCTATTGCAGACTCCTTATGTTATGTCCCTCATTGATTAGACGTCTCATCTCTTCTTGATACCTCTGAGAGAGCCCTGGGTTCTTCAGAAAACGTTTTCTCAATCCCACGAATCATTGTTCGGCAAGCTTCTTATTGTCTGGGAGTCCCGGTTCTTCTTGGCGAAATGGGTTGGAAAGTTGGTAGTGTCCGTCCACTTGAGTAATTGACGTTGACCACTGAATCACAACTCTCTTGTCTTCGACAGACATGGTTTCATCGTTACTGTAGGCAGAGTTGCACTCCCAGAAGTGCCTGACCTGTTTTTCCAGACTTGTCTTCGAGCCCGGTGTTGTCGTTCTGGCGAGGCGGTTGATCACGACATAATCACGGCTCTCCGTCCTTCCTAGTCCTTACTTCCAATGGTGCTAGTGCTTGTGGTACATCCAGCCCTATCAGAGATACCACTCTTCTCGGTGCCTGGCATAGCGCAGTAACTCGGAGGTGTTCCCACATGGCGACGTCTTGGGTGTCTTCGACTGAAAACTCTCAGAGAAGACTATGGATTCTCAACAACAATGACCTTGGAGATAGTGATGGATCGGCTTTTTCTTACTCCTATGCTAGCCACTTTTAGACTGATCTCTTCAGTGTTTACACTATTTCCTTCTTTCATGATCATGCCAATGGAGAGGGGAACTAGCCTTCCCTCTGCCTGCAGCCGGTTAGCTAGACTACGCAAGCAGTATGATCGGTTGCTGCTAGAATCGAAGAGAGCTCCAGTGACCACTACTCCTTTCTCCTCTTGGTTCTTCTCCTCTACCCTGACTTTTACTATTGGAAGTGCGACTCTGCTGGACTCTTGTAGTCACGACCCGCAATCGTTGGGTTCTTCACGCCGATCATCGCTTCCGTTGTTGGTTATGGTTTCCCTGACCCATCTATGTGGATTTTCTCTATTCGTGGTCACCAGCACTTTCTGTATACTCTCAGTCCCTTTCCCCATCTTGCTTGTACCGGCTTCGGTCTTCCATGATTTAACTCCACTGGTCGTCGGTTCCGGTGGCGGCATAATGGCCTCAAGTTGACTCATTCTAGGTCACTTGTGGTCAGGTGATATGTCCTTTTGGTAAGTGCCCCCAGTGATTGCTCTCTTCACCCCTTGGAAACTACTGTGGCATATTGTATGTGACCAGTTGTCAAATTTCTTTGTGTTTGTCTATTTTCTCTTTGTTAGGCTCACATACATACGTACACGTAGGAAATCTCGCACTAAGGACGGAGGTGAGAAGGGAACTCACAATGGTGCTTTATATATATATATATATATATATATATATATATATATATATATATATATATATATATATATATATATATATATATATATATATATATATATATATATATATATATACTGTATATATATATTGTATGAACAATGCACTTGCTGTGTGGTGAGGAGCTTGTTGAGAGGAGGTCTTGTCTGTTTGAGAGTGTTGAGTAGAATGACCTTCACGGCGAGGCTGAGGGGTATTTATATGATTTTGCCGGATCAGGTTGGAGATGTGTGAAATGAGCGGCGTTGCTGATTGGCTGAGGTGAAGGCGGTAGCGGGCCAATCACTGCGCAGTCCGGGTGGGGTGTCTGGGACCATAGGGCCGGATGCAGGATCCTCATGAGGAGCAGGGTCCACGTCAGGAGCAGGGTCCGTATCAGGAGCAGTAGGTACCTGAGGATGAAAAGAGGGTACCCAGAAATGTTGTGGACAAGGTGGTGCTGCAAGTGGCAACTGGGGGCAGACTGGTGCATGCGTGGTTTGTTGGGGGTAATGCTGGGCTGGGGCCCCATCGGGTAAGGTGGCCGGCTTCACTCGATCTATGCTGACAGTGTCGTGTCTGCCATTGCGAATAATCGTTAGGAACTTAGCCGACCGTGCAAAAACCAGGAAGGGTCCATCATAGGGGCGTTGAAGTGGGTTGCTGTGAGCATCGCGCCTGACGAAGACATACCGGTACTCGGCGTTGAATAGTGCAGGAGGAATGTGTTCAGGGCGACAGGAAGGCTGGTGTGGGGCAGTAGCTTTGAATGCAGAAACTGTTTGTCGTAGTGTTTGCAGTAAGTCGTGACGGACAGCAGGAGTGAAGTGGTCGAGGTCAGGAGTAAGTGAGAAATCCCCGGGTAGGCGAAGGGGCTCACCTAGGGTGAGATCTGCTGGGCTGCAGTCCATGTCTTCTTTGTGTGATGTGCTGATGCCAAGGAGCACTAAGAGAAGAGCATCCGTCCAGCTGAAGTGGTCTTACTGTGTCTTGATGACGTCCTTCAGCTGCTAATGAAACCGCTCTCCCATGTCGTTAGATTG